AATATATATATATATATATATATATGTACATTTTTTTTGCTGTTGAAAGATGTGTAGAAGCATGGACTTTCTTTCTCTACTTTTGCTTGCTTATCGACCCGTATTTTTTGTGGTTTGTCGATTTTATTTGTTTCGTTCGCTTTCCTTTTTTCCTTTCGTGTTGTTGTGTTGCTGCATTTAAGGTTGTCCAATTTGTTGAACTTTGTTGTTCTTCACCCCGTATTTTTCACTTGTTCTGTGTGTTGTTCTTCCATGCGTGCTTTTTGTTTGTTTCCATGCTTTTCCGGCGTGGATTGTTCCTGTGCTTGATTTGCTTTTTAACTTACCTTCTTTTGTGCAAGTAGTTTGTTTGATCAATTTTATTTATTTTTTTCCCTTTTCGTGTACTAATAGCTTTTTTAGGCGTCTTAATGCCTGCTTATATTCCCTTGTGTTTGTGTATTTCTGCGTTTTCCAGTTTGGAGAGAACATATACTATATTGGGGGGAACACGGCAAAGTGCGAGGACGCTGTGGATCTCTGGTATTCGGAAATCAAAAACCTCAAGTAAGTTCTGCTCCTCTGCATCGCTGTATAATCAGTTAATCTGTGATTAATTAATCAATCAATGAATAATTAGTTGACTTGCTGTTTAGTGGCCTCATGCTCTTGTGCTTTATTTGCGTGGTTCTGTCTTCGAATTACTTGGTTTGTAATAGTTGTTTTTGTTCGGTCCGGCGGTTTATCCCCTGTATTGTTGCTCAAGTGGTCAATGAATTAATGGATTGTTTTGGTGTCCATTTTACTGCCCAGTTGAGTTGCTGCTTAGTCGCCCTTTTGGGTGCTGTCGCCTAATCTAGCTCTATACACACTCAGCAGCAGATTCTCTAACAGGAATTTGCAGATAAAATGCAGATGCAGTTTTCGTAGGGGCTTCTCTCGAATGGGAGTGTTCACTTGTCTCCTTTTTTGATATTCACATTTGCCTTTGTGTTTCACCTTGACCCCGATTTACAAATATGGATGGCATTTATTTTTCCATTCAACTGCAGTGCATGAGTTTCCTTTGCAATCTTTTTTGTCGCTGCTGTGCAGCGGGAAGTACCCTGGCGGTAGCTGGACTCTTAAAGAAGGACACTTCACGCAGGTGATGTGGGCAGGCAGCACAGGCCTTGGCTGCGCGGCCACAAATGGACAAAACTGTGAAGGCAGAACCATTGTCATATGCAACTACAAGCCCCAAGGAAATTGGTCTGGGGAGCCTCCATTCTCGTCAGACATACACCAGTAGAAACCCTGAATTCTAAACTCTCCACCATGAAGCAACTCTAGACCCCACAAACAATAATGCTCCAAAATCTTAAGCCATAGATACTTCATAAACCCTAATTCATAAACACTTTAAAAACAATAATCCATACTGCCAATAATGCCCTAATTAATCTCAGTAAACCCTGATTCTCAACTCCCACTTACTACTTCTCAATAATTAGACTGGTCTGTTGCCTGTCGACATACTGCCTATTTAATTTGGTTTGCTTGCCGTTTGCGCAGGGAAGAGGTATGGAACAGCATAATGGAGGCCTCTGCTCCCTTCTCTTTGTCATCGTCTCCGTTGTTTGCTCTGTTGGCCGCTGTTGCGGGGTGCATAGTCAGCTGGGCCCTCATATGGCTTTGAAAGAGACCGTGTCTTTCTTCTTTTTCCTCTTCTTCTTCTTTCCCCCATTCTTTCCCTTCCTTGTCTTTCCCTTCTTTTTCTCACCGCCCCTTTTCCGCTTGTTTTGCTGGGTTTCTTTAAAGAAAAGGCAAGCAAAAACAAGCACAAGCAAACCCGCAGCGTTCAGTGCATGCGCAGGCCAGCACCAATACCACCAACCAGTAGACTGCTAGTCAGCTAAAAGAAGAGATGCAGCTGAACCCACGAACAGAGAAATATACCAGTTAGCAGACAGACAAACTCGCAGACAAAGACAGAAACAAATACAGACAGAAAAACATGTCAGTAGAAAGACAAAGAACAAGTGGCCAGAGAGACACACAACCGGAAAATAGTCACAGTAAAGAGAAAAGGAGATGCAAGCAGGTAATAGCCTGTCTTCATGGCCATTCGCTTGTTTCGCTGTCGGACAATCAACAAAGCACAGTCACAAACAAATTAAGAGCAGGACAAACTGGTTGATAGCGAGACAGGCAAGACGGACAAGTAGAATGAGAAATGAAAAGAGAAGCAACAAGCAATGCCTGAAGAGCACGGGGTACTGCTGCACATTCTCATGCAACATGTCGGGTGCTATTGCCCATTTGTCTCTTCAAACTACCAGACAAAACCGCTAACTAGCCAAGTAATAACAACAGAAGATAAAATCATCAGCGGACAAACGACGAAGAACAAGCGTTCAATTCATTCATTGCCTGATTTATTTACTTGTTTGTTTCCATCTTCTGTCTAGCCTTCGCTTTAACAACCCTTGGGTTTCGCCTGAGAACATCGCCACGTCCGCGTCGCCACCAGCGGGTTGAATGCAAGTTTACTCGTTGCTAGACCATTTGTGTATGCACTCAGTTCCCCTTTATTCGTTATGTTTTTATTTGACTTGAAATATGCCAGGGGGATCGGTGGATTCGTCGGACTAATAGTAGCCTCCGGCTGTGTGCTGCGTAGAGATGTTCTATAGCTCTTTCCAGTTGAACCATTGATTTCTGCCTTTCTCCCTTTAGTTGCTCTGAACATATAACTTTTCTGCCACCTTTTTATTCTTGGTCAGAACCATTATTGCCATGGGGATTCCCCCGTAGCTTTGTTGCTGAACGCCGGCTGTGTTGCTGCTGTGCCGCTGCCTTCTTTTTTGTTTCTTCTCTTGATTTCTGTTTGTCGTGCCATTTATATACTTATTTCCTTGTCATGCCGGTTGTTATTCCACTTGTGTTGTGTTTTGCCTGTTCCTTTACTTGCCCGCCTCCGTCTCTGTTTGCTCGCTTGTTTGCTTGCTGGTATTCTTGTCTGTGATTGATTTGTTGAGTGTTTTTGATTTCTTCGTTCGTTTTGTTCTGCCGATTTGCTGTCTCAGTTGTTGATTTTCCATCTGTCTGTTCTCTTTGTTTTGCTGTTATATGTTTGCTCTTGTTCGCTGGTTTGCTCGTTCCCCGGACTTCTAGCTGGCCCCTTCCTGTTTCGTTGTCACGGTTAGGTCATAGAGGTCAGCTGCAGCTTGTGAAAGCGTTTTCCTTGTTTAATTTGCTAATCTTCAAGTCCGTCCGTGCACTCACCAGCCTTTTGTGGCGCAAAGCCGTCTGCAGTTGCTACACTAAGTAAATTCTGTTCAGCGTTCCACATATAGAGGAAGCATCCTGTAAATTCGATGGAATGTTACTATCCACACTCATTATATATGTCACAAATGCGGCTGCCTTTCGCAGTTGCTTTCCGAAAGAACACCTACATAGAAGAGATGAAAGCCAACAGAAGGGAAAAATTTGGACGAAAAGTCGCCAAATATGCAGCAGCCAACAGCCGACAATAGGGAAAAACAGGTAAGTTCTGACGGCTCAGCAGCAGATGCCATAAACAGAGAAAAGCATTGAAAGGTGTTCCTAAAGAAGCTGCAAAATAACAACAGCACCAAATACACTCCCTGCAATTGACAGTGGACACAAGGCGCAGCAGAGACAAATCGTGCCGCGGGTGGTCTTGCTGCTGCGGCGGTTCTTCTACTACTTCTGTCGATGCTGCAGCTTCTGCTGATGTTCCTGCTGATTGTGCTCTTGCTAATACTCCTGTTCTTGTGCTGCAGCTGCCTTAGCAGCTTCGTGTGGCAGCAGCAGTTGTGGGCGATCTAAATACCGGCATTTCTGCAGCAGCATCAGGAGATTGTCTTGTGGCGGTATCTTTACGGAGGTGGCGGCTGATAGGCGCCTTTTATTTTTGTGAATTTCGTTTAACTGTACTTTACTGTAAAATAAAAGGTGCAACTGACAGGCAAGAATTAACCTAGGAATGAAGAGAACAGCGGCAGCGACCTCTGGTCCTCAGGGCGGACGACAGAATATCCTCGGGCAAATGCATTTAACTCATTTGTACCCCATGCGCAGCATTTTTTAATCTATTATTTACAGTGTATTTACATTTCTGCTTCAAAAGCAGTCCTTCTTGCAACCCCTCGTCCTCGTAGCTACAGCCCGTACTGCTGCTGCTGCTGCCGCTGCTGCTGCTGTTTGCTGCGGCTTTGGGTCTGTATGGAAACCGCCAAAGCTCCATTCCTCAGTTAAACCCCATTAATTTGTTACTTTGTAGAGAGCCAGGAATATAAGCAGATCGCTTTGCTGCATCTATATACGCCCAATACTCAAGAGCAGCAGCAACTGTTCCCTGCTGCTGGAGCTGTTGTGTGTGTACCACAAAACACCCAGCTCCTTTAATTTCTTTGAATTCATTTTGTGCCCATTTTCTCTCCTTGTCGTATTGGCCGCGCACAGGCTTGACTAACAGGTGCAGTGGCAGCAGCAGCAGCGCCAGCAGCAGCAGCACAGACAGCAGCACCACCGAACTGCCCTCTCATATGTGCGCGAAAGCTCTGTGCACACAGAAGACGCCTCACACTCAATCAGAATTGGGGGCGGCGGCTGCTGTTGCTGTTGCTGCTGCAGCCGCAGCAACAGCAGCAGCAGCTGCTGCTCCTCCTGCCTTTCGTGCAGACGTGTCTGCTGGTTTTGACCGGATGTAATGTGCTCGAAAGGCATTCGGTAGGCGCAGCATCCGCTGCTCACTCTTCGGCGGTGCATTGGTTGTTGCTGCCGCTGCTGCTGTTAGTGGCATAGGTGCTGCTGGCATAGGTGCTGCTGCAGCACGTGCGTGTAGCCGCACATAAGCCATAGCCACAGCGGATTGAGGGGATTATAGGCCTGGCAGCAGCAGAATATCCACGACTGCGGTAGCTTGTAATAGTGGCCGAATCAGCCACCACCGCCGTCGCCAGCATAGTAGCAGCAGCAGTAGTACTAGCAGCAGCAGTAGTATCAGCAGTAAAATCGGCCGCGACAGTATCGCCAGCACTAGATCGCCAGGAGAAAGGATACCGTTTTTTGCAGCAGCACTAGCAGCAGCAGATGAAGCGCCAACTGCAGGACGAACAACCGCAGCATTGGCAAGGAACATAGTCGCATTAGCAATCGCGTATTTGGTTTGGTTTGAATTTGTTTTCTCCTCCTGCAGAAGAGGCGGCGAAAAAACCGCAGCTCTGAGCGCTGCTGCTGCTCGCACGCTCAGTCTAAGAGCAGCAGTAGCAGCAGCAGCAGCACTGTCACCCGTGGCGGGAAAAGGAGCAGGGCGACGCTGTGCACTGATTCCCCGCCAATCACGCACCAGGGCCTCACCATTACCCACCCCCAGCACCATTTCTGTCATCATCGTCTGCAGCAGCAGCAGAAGCAGAAGCAGCAGGAGCATCAGGACAAGCAGGAGCGAAGATGTCCGGTTGGTTAAGTGCTAAGATAAGCGCCTTGGGGGAGAAGGTGATGGACTCGGTGTTGGAGGCGGTGGCGAGTCAGCAGGACCAACATCTCAAAGGATTGCAGCAGATGCAGCAATGGCCAGTTTCTCGTCTATTGAATCGGGTTGTGAATGCGAAATACTTTTACAGACAAGCAAATGTTGCCCCTTGTGCTGCATTCGACGAGATATTCCCCCCACAACCCCCGCTCTCTCCCGCTGCTGCTGCTGCGGCAGCGGCAGGCAGAAGCAGCAGCAGCAGCAGCAGCCGGGCGCCCAGTGGGTGCAACGCAGACGAAAACGCCACGGCACCAGTTGCAGCGGCAGGTGCTCCCTACCCCCAAACAGGCCAACAACAGCAGCAACACCAACGGCGTGGTTCCTTGGGATTGCTGCCTCCCTTCATCCCAAGAGATGCAGTTGGACGCCTGGAGATTGCAGTACCAGGTGCTTGCTTGCTGCTGTTCAATGCTGAGGGGGCTCGCACCAACCCACTACAGCAGCAGCAGGCGAAGCACCAGCAGCAGCTGTCATGGATGCTGCGGGTTCTTGTCGAGAATCAGCAGCAGCACAGCCGCACCGTCCGCCTCAGCACCAGCAGTAGTAGTAGTAGTAGTAGTAGCGATTGCATGAACGAGCTGCCTTTCGAGGCTTCTTTTGAGTTCCCTGTGCGCGACCTTTGGACAGACATTTCCCTTGAAGTTATCTGCATTCGCCCATGTAGGCAGATCATATTAAAAGCAAACAAGGATGCTGCTGCGGCTGCTGCGGGTGCTCCCAGCAGCAGTAGCAGTAGCAGTAGCACGTGGGCGCCGCTTGAGGACGTTTCAGGACTGTCTGCTGCTGTTGCTGCTGGCTTAGTGCCACCTCAGCAGCAGAGAGAGCAGCTGCTACAGCAGCTGCACCAACAGCTCGGGGCTGCGTACGACGAAGGCGATGCGGCTCGCCTTCAGCAGCAGCTGCACCAGCTACATCAGCTACAGCAGCTGCACCAGTTGCAGCAGCAGCAACAGCAGCAGCAGCAACAGCAGCAGCAGCAACAGCAGCAGCATGGGACATCCACGGATTTATCACCTTCCGATGGATTTTCCAGTTTAGATGAGCGGCAGCTGTATGGCCGCGTAATCATTCCTCTGTCTTCTTTCCTCCGCGCCTCCTCCCCTGTGCAGCAACAGCAGCACCACCAGCAGCAGCAGCAGAGTTGGTGGTGGAGTGCTGAGTCTGGATGGGTTAGCGAAGGGGAGTTTTGGGCTCATTTATACCCAGACAATAAAAAGCGACAAGAGCGGAAATACCTCAGGCCTGTTAGAGGTTTGCAAACCCTAAACCCTGAATACCCAGCCGTTACCAAGCGCAGCTTCAGGAGGCGCCACGGAGGAACGAGGCCTTTATTACTGTGTTTGTTCCTTCGCTGACTTGTCTATTATATTATTGTATACTGCCAATGTTATTGTGATTCCTTTTGTTCACTACCGCTTTGTTCTTCTGCCGATGGGTCTGTTTCTTTCTCGATTTTCCCGCACAGAGTTTGTGCTTGCTTTCGCGCATTTCTCTTTTCATCTGTTTGTTTGCTCACTTCTCCGAGTATTTATTTGTTGGGTTGGTTTTGTGCTGTCATGTAATTGTCTGTTTATTTTTGCAGTTGTCTGGTTTTTCATCGATCGGCGTTTCTTGTTCTTGCTTTTTTATGTATTGGTCCGTTGCTTTTTTTTTGTTTCTGCTTCCTTGCTTGTTTCAATATCGCTACTTATTTAGTTCATCCTATCCTTGTCTGTTGTTTGATTTGTATTTCTTTTCCTGTATTTCTCTAGTGCCATATCCGTCTGTCAGTCTCTCTGCGTCTCTTGGATTCTTAGTCGCGTTACTGTTAGCTGGACCTTTTCTTCCCCGTTTGCATGCAGGCTTTGAAGACTACGGCATGAAAAATCCGATTTCTTCGTTGGGTTTCATACACCTTCGCATGCGTTTCTGCTGGCAACGAGCTCCGCTGTTGGCTGCTCTTTCTTCTGTCTGCCTGCCTCCATCTTCTCTGTGGCTGATTCCTTCTTCTCCTGAACCCCACTACTTGCAGACATTTGGAAGCAGATGCAGACAATGGCGGTCACAAGAGCCCCGCTGGGTTCCCAAGTTCTTCCAACTCGCCGGTCTGAACGCCCCCTCCCCCCTTCTTTTAACCCTTTAACCATAAACCTAAACATTAAAATTTATTCACCAAGACCCTACATTCTAAACCGCGGACACTCAACAACAATTGGCACTTTACTCTATGATGTATATCGAAAACCTCCTCATTAGTATCGGCTTTTAAACGCTATGCAGCAAACCCCTGAACTGCAAATCCTCCTCCCCTAACCCTCTTGGACCTTGCAAGCTCTACAATGTGCTAAGCCTGTGCTTTTATGGATAACGTACCAGCCCATGCTAATCGTGCTAGCGTTGCTGCTTTTACTGAAGATGCTGGTATAGCGGCTCTGGCTGCGATACTACTGCTGCTGCCGCTTGTGTTTCACTGATGGATAGCCATGAGGACTTGTCCTTACATGTATGGATTATTTCTTTCTTTGTTTGCCTGCAGCGGCTTCTTATCTGCGGAGCTCCTTCAAGGACCACTTGTTTGTTTTGTTATTTTGGCTGCTGCTGTTTTATTTTATTGTCCTCGCGAGGCCTCAGGACTTGCCGCTTGCAGCTGCTGCTTGTGTTGCTGCCGTCTCCTTGTCTTACAAGTGCTGCGAGTCGCAGAGCAGCAGCCGGTCCCCCTGCTGCAGCACAGCTCTTGTTCTTAGCAGCACCAGCAGCAAAAGCACAGCAGATGAGCAGCCGAAAAAGAAGAGGGTTATTCCTCTTCCCGTGCTGCACTGCAGCACAGGGTCTCTCCCACCCCCCTCAACAACAATCTCGTCTCCTCCTGGTGTTTCTACTGCTGCTGCGGACGGCGTCGCAGCTGCAACAGCAGGATCAGCAGCAGGTGGTGCCGAGTCAACAGCGAGTGTGGGGAGCCACGTAATATGGCATTTGCCGCAGCACCAACAGCAGCAGCAGCAGGGGGTTGTTGATTGGATAAATGTCCCGGGGTGCAGCAGCAGCAGGTCGTTGGGGCAGCAGCAGCTGCAGTGGACGACGTCGGATGCTTCTCTAGTGGATGCTGCAACAGCACAACGAGGAGCGTCAGTGCCATCAGGAGCTCCGTCGAATAGTGGTTCAAATCAAGGCCTGTGGCCGTTGCTGTCTCTTGGAGCCGATGATGGGGATGCTGCTGCCGCTGCAGCTTCAGCAGCAGCTGCTGCGGCGGGAGCGGCAGCAGCCATTCCAGGAGCAAGTACAGCGGCAGGCCCGGGATCCGCAGGAGGAGGACCCGGGGGAGCAGTAGCAGCAGGGGCAGCAGCAGGGGCAGCAGCAGGCACAGCAGCAGCCGCTGCTGCAGTTGGTGCAGATGAAGGAGGAGGGGGCGACGGCTTCTCTCTCGTGTTGAGCCCCTTCGGGAAGATTCGGGTGTCTGGGCAGCCCACACCCAGCAGCAGCGAGGAGTGGCCGATCTTTGCTGACGACGAGGCAGAACCGCACCTCGCAGAACAGTTGCAGAACCTCGTCGAAGTCTCCACTGTGCTGCAGGTTCGCTGCTGCTGCATCTGCTGCTGTTGATGCCGTTTCTATTCTGATTGCCATTCAGCTCACATGTCCTGGCATCTGCTCTGCGCGAGGCATCCCAGGAGCGCTTTCCCAAGTTGCTACATTTGCTGTTGCTGAGTGCGACCCCATGCGGTACTGCTTTTGCTGCTGCACCTGCTGCTGCTGCGTGGGTTGAGTGTGGTGCTGTTCTCAGTTGATATTTGGCTACACCGCACAATGTTTAGACAAAGTGAAGTATGCATTTAACTGGGAAGACCCTCTGCTGACATTTGGGTCGGTTGTTTTGCTGCTGCTGAACGGGCTGCTGCTGTCACTGCTGCTGCGGCTGTTGTGTCTGGTTCCCCTGTTCTACTGGCGTCTGTTTGCCTTCTGTTGTCTGCTGTCGAACGCTGCAACACGAGCAGCAGCAGCAGGACCTGCAGCAGGTACAACAGATGCACCAAAGGGGGAGCTGCCGCTTGAGCAACAGCGCCGAACTGCTGCCGAGGGCTCTGCTGGAGCAGCAGCAGCAAAGGATCAGCAACTGCAGCAGCATCAGGCAGCAGCAGTGTCGCCGAGGTGTCAATCGTTTACCAATACTGAAGGGCTCCTGAGCAGTAGCTCCTCCTTCTCGCAGAAGCAACCCTCGTGGTTTGGCGGCTTCTTAAGGCAGAGGCGTAGCAGCAGCAGGCGTGAAGGATCTGTTTCAAAGGGTGGTGATGACGGCGCTGCCGACCCGCGCAGCGGCAGCAGAGTTCGCGCAGAGGATGAGGCGTCGCTGCTCTCTGCTGCTACTTCTGCTAACAGCAGCAGCAGGAGTACGGCGTCATTTTTCGTGGACTACGCAGTCCGCTGTTTGTGTGCGATTTTGGGTGTATGCATGCGCGCTTGCAGAGGGCTGTTGGAGATAGCTTTCGACCGTGTTGGAGTGCCTCTGCTGATGCTGGTGGAGTCCGTTGCTGTTTCGTATTTCGCTGTTGTAGCCTTTTGGTGGGCTCACCTCCCGGAGCAGAGGGAGGTTGAACACAGACAGATTGCGCTGTCGCAGCTGCTGCCATCCTTGTCGGTACTGTTGCCTCCTGAGGCACGCGAGGCAGCAGCAGCAGCAGCAGCGCGCCAGCAGCAGCAGCAGCACTCCTCAGCCGCGGTGGCGTCGGCGGCAGCAGCAGCAGCTGCTGCTGCAGAAGCCGGGGGAGGGGCTCCCACCGCCTCCTTCAAGCCCCACGGCCTATTCCCAGAAGATGTTTATCTGTTCTTAAAACAGTACTGCCGCAGCAGGTGGAAGCGCGAGAACCCTGTGACAGCGCAGCTGTATGCAGCAGCGCCTTATCTTATGCCCCGCAGCAGGAGCAGCAGCATATGCTTAGATGAACCCGAACAGCAACAGCAACAGCAACAACAACAGCAGCAACAACAGCAGCAGCGAGAACCCTCTGCCTTCGGTTCTTTTTCACTCGAACTTCGCAAGGGGGCCTCTTCACCCTGGGCGTCTTCTCTCGGTACCTCTGAGGTGCAGCAGCAAGACCAGCAGCAGCAGCGGACAGATTCCTTGCTCAGCTGGAGCGGCTTGGGGAGTGCTATTGCAGCAGCAGCAGCAGCGACATCAGAGGGAGGTCCAGACGCTTGTGAAGGATCGTCTCCTCCACAGCAGCGCAGCAGCAGCAGCAGCAGCAGCAAGGGTCCGTTGCTGACTCATTCTGAGTCCTTGACACACCTAACAGCACAAGGAGAGGTTGAGCGCCTCATGTTGCACCCTCAGTTCATTTCATGGCAGCAGCAGCTCTTTGAAAGGGGACAGAGAACAGCAGCAGATGAACTGAGCGACGACGAACAGCAGCAGCAACAGGAGCATCAGCGGCTGCTACTGCTGCAGCAACAGGGACTGCACGCCCAGGAACACCAACAGGAGCAGAACGAGCAGCAGCAGCAGCAAGGAAATAGAGGCGTGCGCCAACACCACCAACACGAGAAGCAACGGCAAAAGCAACAGCTGCAGCAGGAACAGCACAGAGAGAGTTCACAGGAAGCAGCAGGGCCCTTCGGTAGCCTCGCCTTTCCTGGTCTCAAGGCTCTCTTTGGCCGTAAGTCAAGTTCAGAGCACCCCGCGAATGGCAGTGCGGCGTGAGCTGTTCCTCCTGGTGCAGCTACTGTGCCATTGTAGTGAATATCGTGTAACAGCTGCTCCACCGATGCAGTTGCCGCTGCAGCAGTCCTGCAGCAAACGCACGCTGCTTCGGCAGTCGAGTTTGGTGTTGCAGCGTATGCCCTGCTACAATGGCTGCTGCTGCGGCTGCTGTTGCTGCAGTGCGGCAACAACAGCAGCAGAGTAAGCGCCGCGTGTACAGTCCGTCTTTTGGTGAATTCCGCAGCACCAGTGTGGTTGTTGAAGCAGTGACATGTTACAGAAGGGCTCTGTGCTGCACCCCAGCAGAAGCCGTAGTAAGTGCAACAGCTGTAGCCACTACAGCTGCAAGAGGCATAACGGGAGTAGCAGAAGTAACAATAGTAACGGCACAAGCAGCAGCAGCAGTTTGAGAAGCAGGAGATCAAGATAGGGCTGGTAGAGCTCAAGGAACTGGGCTGGCTTCCTATCGAAGTGTGCTGCTGCTGCTGTTGCCGTATTAGATAATCGTGGAGCTGCCCCCGTAACTATGAGTGTTCTTGCTACTGCAGCGGCCGCTGAGGCTATGGTTGCTGCTGTTGCAGTTGTAAGAATTTCCGCTGCTGTGGCAGTGATCCTGCGAGCAACGTTCTAGTAGAATTGGACAGCAACTGGAGCTGGTGCTGCAGCAGCTTGTGCAGCACGAAGAGTAGTTTTTCCAAGGGCAAGCAGAAGGCTTCGGTAGCACTTGCATAGATGGGAAGACGAGCAGCCGCTGCAGCAGCATGTTGCGTTGCTGTTGCTGCAGCAAGCTGTTGCTCCAGCAGAGGCTTCTGTTGCTTAGTTTGCTGGTGGAGAAGGTCGCTGCATGCTGCGGCAGCACTATCTTTGCATTTGATTGTGTGGAGAAACTCCAGCAGCAAATCGGAGGTTCCTCTGAGCTTGCTGTTGCTGCTGTGTGTTGCGGCGCAGAAAGAAGCAAGGAAGTGGAGGCAACGCCCAGAAGCAGCAGTAACAGCAGCAGCAGCAGTAGCAGGCGGATACGGAACCCAGCAAGTTTTTCTACAGCACTAAGAGAAGGCCAGCAGCGTCCTGTCGTTCGGTTCCGCGACGGGCACCACCCTCAGCAGCAGCAACAGCAGCATAAGCATGACTGTCCGTACGCTAGAGGTGAGCTGACGATGACGTGGTTTATGCAGTGCCTCTCTTCAACGGTGCGACAGCCAATAAACAGCATGCACTGGCTCCTGCATTCGTTCTGGTGCTGTTGCAGCTGCCAGCAGCGGCAGCAGGAAATAAGGGTGTATTTAGTTTTTGGGTTTGATTGTCTCAGGATCTGAGGCTGTCCATGCAGATGAAGTGAGTGACAGCAACTGTTACGCCAGCAGCAACAGCCGCAGCAACAGTGGCAACACAGGGGAGGTAAGACCCTCCTCTCATGTGGATAACCGAGATTCCGGGCTGTCGCAGCACGAGGAGGCCGACGCTAAGCCCTTGGCTCAGGAGGAGCAGCTGCTGGTACATCCAGGAGATCCTGGTGCTGCTCCTGCCTCGTCAACCATCGACAGCAGTGGCACCGATTCGGCAGCAGCAGCAATTGCTGCAGCAGCCGCAGCAGCTGGTGCTTGCCCAGATGAAACTCCTAAAGGGGAGCCCGTAAGCGCGTCTATCACCACTAGGTCCTCAGTGACGCAGCAGGAGAACGAGCTCGAACCACAGCAGCAGCAGCAACACGATGCGGATTTGTGGGTCAAGGGCCAGCAGCACGCGCAGATGGCGCTACAGCAGCTGCAGAATGTGCAGCAGCAGCTGCATGCGATCGAAGAACAGCAGACTATTCTTGCAAGGAAGGCTCTGCAGAAGTACCCAACAGAAGATGCAGAAGCTTTGCAGCAGCTGCAGCAGCAGCGCCCTGGAGGCGCCTCACAACAGCAACACGAAGGAGAATGCCGTCAAGGAGCTGGCTCCACGGACCGGCCTATGAAGGATTCAGGTTCACTGCAGCAGCAACAGCAGCAGCTGCAGCAACAGGAGCAACAACGTCAATCTTCATGGTGGCCTGCCGGCCCTTGGAACGAAACGCTGTCTTCTCCTATGGGGCTTTCACGTGCAGATTTCTCTTCTTGGTCGTTTTCTCAGCATCCTCATCATCAGCAGCAGCGGCATTTGAGCAGCAGCATCCCTGATTTGACTAGCAGGAACTGGCTGCTGGGATCTGGGGAGCAGATGAGGCAGCAGCAGCACACAGACCCATCCAGCAATGGGAGGAGCAGCAGCATGCAGACGCTCACAGGCAAAGACAGTTTCTCTGCTGCTCTCGCATCCATTGGTTCATTCGTCGAAAGCCTTGGCTGGAACTTCAATACACCAGGAGCAGTAGCAGCACCTGCTACTGCATCAACAACAGCTGCTGCAGCAACGGCGACAGCAGACACTGCTGCTGGAGGAGCTGCTGCACCTGCCGCTACTGACCAGCAGCAGCAGACCTAGGAAGCGCAAGCTGCAGCGGCGGATTTCAAGGTGTGAATAGTGCAGTTTGACAGCCCAGCAGCAGCAGCCCAACAGCAGCAACCGGGTAGAACAAACAGCAAACGCAGCACAGTGAGAACTCAGTTGAGCTAGCATCCGCCAGAACGAATGCGATTGCAACACAGACATTCTAGAGAGATAATAGGCCTTCAATAACCGATGTCAGAACTTTTATTTGCAGCAGTTGCGGCGGCAGCAGCTCGTTTTGCTTTGTTTTGGTATTTGCTTCGGTGCGTTGGCCTTTGCTGCAGTATATTGCTCATTCTCTTGTCTGTCTGTACGGCCCTTTGCTGCTGCTGCTTTGGCTGCTGTTACAACAGTGGCTGGTATCGGCTACAGCCACTGTTGTTCTGGTCTACTGTTGCTGTTGCCGCTTGGTGTTGCTGTACGGCAGCTGTTGTGCCGCGTTTGGTGGAGCTAATGAGCGTGGCTGTTAGTAGTTTGTCACTTGCGTCCTTCATTTGCAAACGAGGTAAACACTTCGGGGCACAGTTATATTATCATGCTAGCTGCAGAATGCGGGGCACTACTCTTAGAGATACTGCGCACTCCAACTTCTTGATACCTGTAAATGTTTCCGCAAGCCCCGAGTTCTCTTGCTGGTGCAGACGCAGCAACAGTAGCAACAGCAGTAACAGCAGCAATGGTAGGAACAGTATGCATTCTCTCTGTAGATGTGCAAGAGGACCCGTTGACAAAGCAGAAATCCACTGGAAAAGTTGCGACGAGACAGCTTTTTGAGGCGGATATGTCAGCTCGTCCCCCACTACTTTGATACTAGTAACAGACTCTACAGCTGTGGAAGCAACTACACTGGTATGCTGCAGCTGCAAGCTGAATTCGTCATTGGAAGAGCATAGCAGATGGCGTAGCACATACATATGTGCAAATATCCACAACTGAGGATATCTACTGCGGATACATACACTCAATAATGCAACTATACGTAAAATTATACTCTCGTAGACTTGGTGTGGCAGTATCCAAACCCCTCTCTTCTTTATCCGGAAGTTTCCTTTGGTTTCAGTCTCTTATTTATTTGGGGATATATTTTTGGTCGCTATTTGGCCTATGTTCGTTGTTGTCAGTGTTCACCTACCTAGGCAAACTAGAGGTGATGCTGCGTGCCTTGTTGATGTACACCCCTTCTCAAAACGCCTGCATGCAGAGGAAGGGTTAATCGGTCTAAATCGCATACAAACATTTCTAATATATTTTCGACCAACTGTTTTGTATAGTGGGAAACTGGCCAGGGCCAGAGAGAGAGGAAGCTGCAATGCTGTCTGCGCGTCACTCCTCCAGACGCCAGCTCCGAGACAATCCCATAAAACTCAATTGAATACGAACAAAGGTTCCGGTCTTTACTTAATGCAAAAGCGCGGAAGTGGGACTGCTGACGCCTTACTGTAGCTGGCAAGAGTCGGCAACGGAGCGCCTCTGCAGACGGCGGGATGTATACATACATCCCCACAAGTTGAAACATTTGTCAGGACAAAAAAGCAAAAAACGGTAAAATTTGAGTAAGCAATATGATATTTTAGGAAGTTTTTTTATTTCTAGACAAACCTCGGAAAATGCCCCCATTCCCGAGCACCAGCAAAAAGCTGCTGGAGCAGAGAGCACAACCGACAAGGTATATTGGTGGTTGTATGATAAAGGAGCCAATTTCGGGTGGGCGTTATTAATTAAACCGTTTACTTCTGTTTTCTTGTGAAGATCTGATAATTAAACAGTTACTGCGCACATTTCTTTCCTTCCTTCATCAACAGTAATACACGCAGGTGGAGCGGATCGCCGCGGCTTGTGGACGGCTGCGGTGTCCATACACCTCAAGTTAGCCCTTTTCCAGTGGAAACATTTGCGCTTTTTTTACTTTTTCAGATATTTATTTGACGAGAAAAGCTGAATAAAGCCCGGGGAGAAGAAGAATCTGCTGCTGCTGCATGGGCGCAGCTGGTGTTCGTGCCGCTTCAGCTGCTGTTGCTGCGAAAGTCCGGCGTTTTTACTCATCTCCTCCTACTTTATTCTATTTTTATTGTTTTCCTTTGTACTCCGTCGCTTCCGCCCTGCTGGGCGTCCGCCTGGCGATTTATTTTCCCGTCCTTCGGTGTACATGCGCATTCCACGCACCCGATGGTTCATCAGCTCCTGCTTGCTGCCACCTCAGCCTTCGGACGAATTAGCAGCAGCAGCAAACAGTGACATCTTTCTGGAGAAGCGAGAAGACCGCCAATATTTGCGGTGTACACCCCGAAGGGACAGACAAAATACGTAAAGATGGTGAGTATTTGCACATTTAGCCCCAATAGACCACGACAAACAGGACGGGAGCAAATGAGCACACAAATCAAACGCAGAGCAGATCAAGCTGCCTTCAGTCATTCTGCTAATGAATAGGGATGTGCAGGTGCACAGGAGACAGTAGCAGCAACAGCAACAGCGGTCGTTTGTTCACTTGCCAGCTGCAGCATCAACAGCCATCACTTTTGCATTGATGCGGAAGTGCCAGCAACGGCATCAGCTGTATCGCCTTGTGCGCGCTTCTTTGACTATGCGTGTGTATGTATGTATGTGTGTGTATGTATGTATGTACGTATGTATGTGTGTGTGTGTGTGTGTGTGTGTGTGTGTGTGTGTGTGTGTGTGTGTGTGTGTGTGTGTGTGTGTGTGTGGTTTCGCTTTGTTGGTGCAGCTGTCTACTTTCTTTGGTAGTTCTTGCTCTGTTGAAATTGCTCTAGATAGAGAAGGCAGAAAATGCACTTGGCTGTCGAAGGAGAGGAAAGGAGAAAAGCTGCCAATTTACAGTGTATGACCAGCTCCCTGTCTTTATATTAATATTATTATATTACATATGTGTGCAAGCAAACCCCTACACAAGGTGGGAGGCTAATACATACACACTGTTGCCTGAATATGTATGTATTAGCATCCCACCTTGTGTAGGCGTTTGCCTGTAAATATGTGCCTTTCTTTTTATGTGGGTTTTGGTCGATTGAATGCAATTTTTGTTAGTGGGTATGCTTCTTTATTTTGGGTCTGGTGGTTGCAAGCACTTCTTGCTTCTGTCGCTTAGCTGTTATTTGTTCCTACATTGCTTTTTTTTCCTACTTGAAACTCTTACCATCAAGCTGCGGAAGCGACGCGGTGTACATACGGCAATCCCAACACCGCAGCTACAAAACCGAGGCGACACCCCCATCGCAACCGAGCAAAACGGAACTACACAGAAAAAATGCGGAAACAAAAACAAAAATTGAGGACTAATAACTTGTTCTGTCCGATTCAGGACGTTGAGGATGTCGTTGGAGCAGCCGTGCTGAATTTAAAAACAGGAAAAAAGTTAGAGCACAATGGAATTAAAGTGGAGTTGGTGGGACAAGTAGGTGAGCTGTAAACCCCAAACCCCAAGTACAAGGCCCTGGCGTTAGGCGGCAGCTGCTTGTGCCCATATAACCGTGTTGAGCAGGTTTTGATAGTGGAATGCTGCCTTCTGACTGTAGAATGTGTGCTCTATTTCTGTTGCTCCTGGTTTGGTTCTGGATTTTTCCTTCTGCTCCATGCTGCAGACATGCTATACGATCGCAGCAGCACCTATGACTTCTTCTCCATCTCGAAAGACCTCGAGCCCCCCGGTTTGCTACTTGAAAGCAAAAAGTACAAGTTCAAGTTCAACGCCGTTGACAAAACCCACGAAACTTACTCAGGCCTTAACGTACGCCTTCGTTATTTCGTTAGACTGACCATTCACAGGAATTATGCAAGGTGAGCAACTTGTTGTTGCCTTCTTTATTTCTGTTTTGGCTGCATCGTCCTTCCCCTTCGTCTCCGTTGCAGCAGCAGCAAACGCCTCAGCAAGGCGTTGAGTTACGTCAAAGAGTGGTGCTTCATTCTCCTTGCCTGTGCTTTTGCTCCAGCAGCATTGTCAAAGAGCACGACTTCATCGTACAGAATGTGGGGCCTCCACCGGAAATTAAGAATTCTATCAAGATGGAGGTGAGTTGATTAGCAGATGTATGTGTTAGCGTTTAACTGTTATTAGCTGTGCAGGCGGTGTTGTGGATATTGTCTCTAGCGGTGAAGTGCAAAGCATATGAATGTGCACATATGCATCTGTGCCATCTTAAATGCATGCGCGCACTGCTATGTGCGTTGTCCTTGCTTGTCACTAGGTGGGCATAGAAGACTGTTTGCACATCGAGTTTGAGTTCGATAAAAGCCGTTATCATCTCAAGGACGTCGTCATTGGAAAGGTGTACTTTGTGTTGGTTCGAATCAAAATCAAAGACATGCAACTCGACATTGTCAAAACAGAAACTGCAGGCACAGGTGACCACAACCATCTACACACACACTGAAATAGAAATTGGAGCAGAAAGAACAGCTCTGCCAGTTGACGATGAGAGCCACTTTTCGCAAAAATATTATTCATTAGTTATTAGTGGGACTTACTAGTACTATTGGAGAAACATGCAGATAACCCCAGAACCCAAAGTCCCAAAGTACTTCTTTTGCTGTTGTTTTTCTGTGCGCCTACCTTCTTGGTTCTCCTGTTTATTTTCGTGTTCTGTTGCCCTTCTTCTTTCACTTTACTGCAGGAGCAGCTGCGGTGACGGACTCGGAAACCCTTTCTAAATTTGAAATCATGGATGGTGCCCCGATCCGCTGTCCGTGTCGCACTCCTCCATCTTTTCAGGGATAAGAGTTTAGCAGTTAATCACTGCAGTTAATTGCAGCATTTCGCTTCTTTGGCGTTGCTACTAATGCTGATATTGCTGCCGTTGTTGCTAGTGCTGCTGGTGCACCTAATGCTGCAGCCATTGCTAGTCCTGTTGCTGCTGTTGGTGCTTCTGCTAATGCTACTGCTAATACTAGCGTAGCAGCAGTTAGCTCTTCTGCTGCTATTGCTGTTGCTGCAATATGATAGTTGGGGGGATATACTGAATATCCTCCCTCGCATCCTGCTGTTAATTTTTCGTGTTTTATTTCGCCCCATCCCTGTGCTTGACTGGTGTGTGCTTGCCTGCTCTCTTCTTGTATGCTCATTCGTTCTGTTTTTCGTTTTTCTGTGTTTCTCCTTCCTCTGCTTATTTGGTTTTGTCCATTTGCTTGCTTAACTGCGTTGCTTGTATTTATGCTTGAGGCAATACGTTTGGATTCGTTGTTGACCTTTCATTTGTTGCTAATTGCACCGGTTTTTCTTGGTTTTTCTTGGTTGTGTGAAGTCCTCGGTTTTTCGTATATTTTCTCGTTAGGTTAACTTTGTGTTTATTTGTCTGCAGCTGAGTGTATCCCCGTTCGTCTGTATTTGAGCGGGTTGGATTTGACGCCGACTTACAAAAACGTGCAGAACAAATTCTCCGTTCGTTACTTTCTCAATCTTGTGCTTGTTGATGAAGAAGACAGAAGGTGAGTGGCGCAGGGGTGCATGCATCCCGTGTAGCTAGCGAAAGTAGCAGCGCAGTTACTTGATATAGGGGAGAGAAGTGCAAGGAAAAGAAAAGGCAGTTTGAAATCGTGCAGCAGAAAGCAGACGCACCTCGCGCGTCTGTACACCATAAGCACAAATGCTTCTTTCATGCCTTCACCGCATTTCTACAGTACACACGTCAACGACCCTTAGGCAGGTGATAACCGCCGCAGTCTGTTTTGTCGCATCAGCAGATGAAGCACCAATCAAAAGGAACGCAAGCAATTACCTTAGTGTACTTTAAGAATAATCGATTATTTATGTCGGTACTTAAGCAGTATATCCTCCACAGGCGCACAGATTGCAACACTAAAATACGAGGTGCGACAGAATCCGAACTTAAAAATCGCTGACTAAATAACAAGCCGATAAAAAGTAAACTAACGACATACTGTTGGAAAATACAGGACGACACTTCAATCTAACAACGTACAAGGCCAGTGCCGGTCTTGCCAACGAACGCCTAAACACTTGTACAACGAGGACGACAAATAAGGACAGCTGCGCCTTTTGCCAGTGTTCAAAACTGAAACACTGAAACTCTCTAAACAGTAGCAAGTGCATCAGGAGCAGCTGCCGCTGCATGAGCGGCAGCAGCTGTGCGTGCTCAATGCGATCGTCTGTCCTTGCATTTGGCTGTGTGTCTTCAGGTATTTCAAGAAGCAAGAGATTATTCTGTGGAGGAAGAAAATAGGGTGAAATAACTTCGCCTTCTTGTAATTTGCTGCTACTTGCATGCATGAATGTGCCAGCAGCAGGCGCAGCGTCAGCAACAGCTTCGGGAGCACCAGCACCATCCAGCACCATCATCTGCAGCATCAACAGCAGCGCCAGTAGCATTCACAACAGATCCAGTAGGTCCTGCGGTTTTAAGAGGCCGCAGTGTTTCGTGTGGAGGTGGCCTTCAGCAGCTGCAGACGCAATTAGATGCTGCAACGCATTCCTGGGTAGTAGGGCAGGATATATCCAATGTATATATATTTCAGTCTGTCTGAGGATATATCCATTGTATATATATCAGTCTGTACGAGTGACAAGCATAGGAGATGTGTGTTCAACTATGCATGGCAGCACTGCCGAAGAACGCATGGGGACGGCCAACTTGCTGTACACATTTCTCCATCAGCTTGTGCTGCTGCTGCAGTTGTTGCAGCTGCTTCGAGCTTGCACACATGCGCTTCTGTCTAGTAGTTGCTGCATGCCTTCACCTTCCTGAGCGCAACAGCAAGACAAATCCCTTTGGCTTTTCTTTCGCAGTTGTTTGCCTGCATAACTTCTTCAGGGGCCAGACGAAGAAGCACCCCAGTGCGCACGGAGAGACTCCAATAGAAATGTATTCAACGGCACGTTGGTGTGCATTGTTTGTATAAGCATGCACAGGCGCTAGTGACACTAAAGCAGGTGCCTTAGATTCCACCAGAATTTTAGCACGAAAGCATGATGTTCTTTCGCTCCAGTAACAACGAAGTGCTCAGGGCTGCACCAGTATTTCTCGTGAGGCGTCCAACCTTGAAACACGAGCGGCCAGCAACTGGCAATAACTCAAAATACCACGGAACGTTGAATGCAACAAAATATATTTGGGAGCACGGCTGCTGGAGTATGTGAGACTTGCAAATTTAGTGGAACAGGACGAAGAATGGCTTCCAAGAGGATGTGTTTTGCTTACTCTGGGAGTTTTATTCGGGAAGGAATCACTATGCCCAGCCCTCAGTTCCAACGGATCTGTGCCAATCCACACAGGCCCGCCAGATGAATGCCTGTGAATCTATAGTATGCTGAAGTGGTATAGCACGCGCAACTGAACTAAATATATCTGCGTATAAAATGTACCTGCAGATACGCTTAAATACAGTTATACATGTATATGTCTGTTGGATATCTACACATATATGTATCTCTTTCACTGCAGTACATGTATATTTACGTGTATCTATTATTGATGCATCAATGCCAAAAAAGGTCTCTCCTCTCTGAGGGAATCCACTTTCAGCCGGTGGTGCAGCAGCAGCTCAGCCAGCAAGCAAAAGGTATTGAATACGAAGAGAGCCGCAGACTGCCACAACATGCCGTCGCATCATTGCTGCTCCTGCTGCTTCTGGTCGGACAAAAAGCGGCGTGTTGGAGTGGAGCTGAACGGAGTGAAGGAGACTGAAGTTCTGCCACTACGGCTTCTGCTGCTCTGTAGCGGTGAGGCAGAAGGCGCCCAACTGACTACTTGGGGTGGCCTGCTGCTGCTGCTCTGTAGGGGTGAGGCAGAAGACGCCCAACTCACTGCTTGGGGTGACCTGCTGCTGCTGCTCTGTAGTGGTGAGGCAGAAGACCCCACACTGGCTACTTGGGGCGTCGTATTGCTGCTGCTTCCGATGTTATTCCTGTCGCTACTGCTGCTACTTTCGCTACTGCTGCTGCTGCTCTGCAAGGTGGACGGAGAAGGCGCCCATCTAATAGTTTGAGATGGTCTGCTTGTACTCGCTCCAATACTAGCACTGCTGGTGCTACTGCTGGCAGTGGCGCTACTGCTTCTAGAGCTGCTGCTGTATGGGGAGCGTTGAGATGGCGATGTGTATGAGCGCTGGTAGCTTCTGCGTCCGTTTGTGTCGATGATGCCAATTTGCTGCTGTCCTGCAGCCGGCCTGAGCTGAAGGACCCCTACCTTGGGTTCGTTTTCTTCTTCCTGCAAGCGTTTCTCCTGTGCCTTTTTCTCTTCTTTTCTGCGCATGTATTCTTTCCACGACAACACTTTCTTGGGGGAAGAGTCATGATAGTACAAGTTGTTAAAGACGGTTCCGTAGTCCTCTCGGTATGAATGAGTGCTGTAGGGGCTGCTGAAGGGGTTTGGGTAATACATATAAGTTCTGTAGGGCGTGTTAGGATAGTTCGCTCCGTCTTCAAGACCATGCTGCCCTGCACTGCTGCTGCTGCTGCTGCCGCTCTGCCACGCAGCGCCGATCCAGGGCGTCTGCGGGCCAGAGGGAGGAGGTCGAGAGGAAGACGTACTCAGCTCAACAACGGGGAACTCGTCGGTTGATGCTAAGGAAGGGTCGTCGTCTTCTAGAGAACCTGAGGAGCTGCTGCGCCGGCCCTCGTCCTGCTGCTGATAGCGCCTCCGCTTCCTTAGACCGGCGAGAGAACGCGGCAAGGCCCTGCTGCTAATTTTCGCCAAATCCGACGACGTCGGTGTTGCTGCTGCTGCAGTGTCGACTGGTGCTGCGGCTGCAGTACCGTCCTCTCCTCCCACGTTGGGTGCAGTTGTTACACTATTATTTGATGCAGCCTTTGCCTCATCGCGTGCAGCAACTGCTGCCGCAGCTAGGCGCTTTTGCTTAAGCTGCTGCTGCTGTTGTTTTGCGTTTTGCAAGAGTGTGGCTCTCTGTTGAAGGTTCAGTACGAGAGGTGTTTGCGTCTCTGCCTCTATATCTCCGTTCATATTTTTAATTGCATTTTGAGTCCAGTCTAATGAGTCGTCTTGATTTTCGGCCTCCCAAACGAATTCATACAAGTCATCCTCTTCGTTATAATCTTCTTTCTCTTCTTCTTCTTCCACGTTTTGTGGTGCAGCTTCGGCCTCTGGTTTGTCCGTTGCCGCCAGCCGACGCACCTGCACAGACGGCGTGCCGCCTTGTTGCACAAAGAAACCTCCATCCTCCGGTTGTTGGTGCTCTTTCTGTTGCTCCTCGGGTTCATGCTGCTGCTGTTCCTGCGTGGAACCTGCCGCCATTACCGCCTTTTGAGTTTCGCGTTTCCTGAGTGTTGCTGCGCGGGAGGGGATTGAGGTCGGCAGCCTCACTTCGTTTGTGTATGCTTCTTCTGCATCGTTTGCTGCAGAGGCCGCGAGAGGTGGCAGGCTAGACAGGTTTTTTATATCGCTCTGCTGTAGAGCAGGGTGCTGCTCGTCCGCTGTATGCTCAGTGGAATCCATGTTGTTGCGGCTGCCTCTGTTGGGAAGCGCAGCCTCGCCTGTCTCTGCCTTTGCTTCATCTACGTTCTCCTGCACTGTTATTTCTCCGGTCTCGTACGCTCTTTTGTAGCTTTGATCCTGCCATTCTTCCTTTCTGCTGCGTTCTGCTGCATCGTCAGCATCGGCGTCCTGGGTTGCTGCTTTGCTCTTCTTTTCTCTGTGCACCAGCTGCCGATTGGAGGAATCCAAAGGAACAGATACAGTCAAGTTGCTGTTGCGGTAATTCCTCAAGTTATAGCCCCCAGCTTGCAACGGACTGCCGCTAATGGAGGGCGGGATGACGCCAGCGTTCCCTGCATGGGCTACCACTGCTGGTGCAGGAGCAGAAGCCCCTCCAGAGGACATTGTTGTTCGCTGAGCAGGCGGGGAGGGAAGCGCGGCAGGTAGATGCTGGCTGCTGCTGGTATTTATCCTACTGTTGTTGCTGCTGCTGCTTGGGCTTCCTGCCGGCCTTGGATGGGGCAGGTGCCTTTGATTTTCTCTGGCGTCTGTGAGGATCTCTGAAGCCGTCTCCGTTTCCTGTTTTTGCAAACTGCTATCTCTATCCCCGTTTCTATCTCTGACCCGGATTTGCGGCAGCGCAGTTTGCAGTGACTGCATCAGGCTGTCTATCTTCTCAGCGAGGTCACCGCCCCTCTCCGTTTGCTGTCCCTGGTGCCTGTGCAGTATCTCCCCTCTGCCTCCCTCCTCAACACGGCCAGAGCTCTGCTGCTGTTGCTGCTGCTGAACGGAGTTCCTCACTCGGGAGACATGACCGGTGACGGCTTCAATAGTTCCAGTGTTGCTGTTGCTGTTGCTGCTGCTGTAGCTGTTAGCTGTTTGGCTGCTCTGGCTGAGCGCTTCGACACGCAAGGCGCCCTGGCGGGTTTGTTGCGTTCTTTCCGAGTTGTCCACAATGCGCTGCTGTTCTCCGGCGCGCTGCATTCTCTGGACCTCTGTACGATGCTGCTGCTGGTCATGATACTGCCGGAGTAGCTGCTGCTGCTGTTCATCGTTGTTTCTGCCCCTCGCAGCTTGTTCTTCGGCTTCTCTCTGTTTCCTGTCTCCTTCAGCCTGCTCTTGCAGCGCGTGCTGCTCGTCTTGTAGCCTTTGCAGCTGCTGCAACTGGTGTAGGAGCATATCTCTTTCTCTCATAGCTTCTTCTTTCTCCCTTCGTGTTGCCTCCAACGCCTCCTCTTCTGTCTGCAAGGTGCTACTGCTGCGGTTCTCTGGATGCCTGTCCATTGGCTCCACAGGCCTCGGGTACTGCTGGCTGTGTCTCTCCTGCTGCCGTACCTCCGTCCTGCTGCGTGTATGTGAAGACTCCGGACCATGCGGATCTCTAAGCACCATCACCGGGTGCCCTACCTCCTCGCGAGATGACAATCCGCTGCTGCTGTCGCTGCCTCTGCTGCTGCTGCTGGTGCCGTTTCTGCTGTCTACTGGTGACTGAACAACTAAGTGCGAACCGCGGATCTGCCTCTCCACCCTTTCCCGCGGCACCACAGAGTGTCTCTCTCCAGCTCGTATTTCCTGGGATCGTTCCCTATATCGATCCAAGCGTGCATACTCCTTCTCCAGCCGCTCGCGCTCCAGACGGGCTCCCTCTAGGCGCGCTGCTGCCAGTTGCTCCTCCAGGTGAGCCTCAAAAGCCTCTTGCAAGGCCTGGAGCTGGACGCGAGGATCTGTTGCAGAGCCCGTATTAGCAGGGGCCACAGCAGAAGGGGTTGCACCACCAGGAACATTAGCGGCAACGGCGGGAGAAAACGGAGTTGCTGCAACAGGCTTCCTGTAGTTACGGTCATCGTAGCTACCATTCGAAGCGCTGCTGTCTTCCTCTTTGTCTTCTGCTGCATTGGCCCACCGCTGGTATCGAGGTAGTGCTGCTGCTGTTGCAGTTGCTGCAGCGATTCCTGGTGGTTGTGTCGATGCTGCTGTTGGTGATGCTCTCCTCGAAAGTTCCAATTCCTGTTGCTGGCTTCTGCGTGCCACTTCGACAGCGCGTAGGTGGTTTGTAAGCTGCTGCTCCAACAAGGCTTTACGAATCGAGCCCTCGGTTTCCCCGCGGTCACCTCCAGAAACGACGTAAGTGTTGGGGGAAGCCAGGATTTCACTGGCGGACGAGGGCAGCGTACTTGGGGCGAAAGAATTAGAAAAATGTCTGTTGCTGCCTGTGTTTGCAATTGCTGCAGAAGCGGGATGAGCGACAGCAAGCAACAACCCACCCAACACCAGCCCGAAGCCGCCGATAAGACGAAAACGAAGGGGTCCGTAGCTGCTACTCAGAGGCGCTACTGCTCCTTTGAAGTGAGTCTTAGAATACAAAACGCTAGGTAAACCAGTAGCAGGTTGCAAGCAGCTTAGGCAAGCCACATGTTCATCACCTCGAGCAGAACCGCCTGTACCGGCAGTGCCAGCATCCCGAGAACCGGTAAAGACCATTTTGACTTAAGCGCAGTAAAAGAAGACAAATGTGTCAGTTAAATGGGCCCAAACAGGCCGAATCGGGGCAGCAGAGTACAACGGTTGAACAAGGAGCCAGAGTGGGCCGTTGACGTGAATGTAGGGGAGGAATTCGCAAGAGCCTCAAAACAGATCAGTGCAACAGAAACGGTGTGCAATCGTAACCTTTAATGTGTCATGCTTGAGAGAAACAAGCATGCATCAAAAATCATTTAGCAAAAGAATGATTTTTTTTGTGACACGAAACAAGAGACAACAAACCAACAAGCCGTCGCCCGCCCGCGGCGGGCCAGTGACCGCTGTGGTCTCGCTAATGGCAGCGGTGTGCGGATTCTGGATATGTATAGGGGGAAATCAGAAGTAGCTTGGCATTGCACCGCTCTTATTATATTTTGTTTGTGCTTATGTCCTTCCGTTTGCCCTTTTTCTATTGCTGCCTTCACGCCGAGACCCATGAGCCCCCTGTCTCGATTGGCTCGGCTAGTCACAGCATCAGCCCTCACCCTCCCCTGTCAAGGACAGCAGCTACCCCCATATTGCATTACGTTATTACTATATTACTACAAAATCATTGAATTTCATAATCCCCCCCTACAATTTTAGTTCCACAGCACAGATATTCCCCACAGCCACGTCTATTGAACTACTCGGCAGTAGTGTCAGGTCTCCAGACGATATGGCGCCTTTTTTTTGTGGGGGCTAACTGGCTATATTTATGGATTTGCACGTCGAAACGTTTCAGGTTTTCTGGGCATAATAGCATCATGATGACATAGAGGCTGCCTCTTCCATCCGCCCGCGGCACGATGAATGGTGACCTGCTGATGCATTTAGCTTGCAGTTCCAGGTGCTCCTCTGCTCAGCACACACTCAAAGCTAACAATAACGGGTAAATCGCAATTAAATTCTTTCAGTGAGTTCTTTCCAATAAATGGGCATTTCAAATGCTTCCCTCTAGGTCGTTTAAACACCTGCTGGGTGGTGACCCCCGTAGTGCGTCCATCCTGTGCGTGCATCTGCAAAATAGCTCCTACGCAAATTCAAACGGCAAAAAGAAGCGTACATCTTGGGGCGCCCGTTCATGAACTCCTATTTGGAAGCGAAAGAGAAGCAACTGAACTAACTGCAGCGGTGCAAACTGGCGAGCAAGGACTACTTAAGTCCGTTCGCTCCGTTAGAACCAGAGTCCACCGTAGCGTATGCATATGTAGGGACTCAAACTCAAGTAAAAGTTTAAAATATTAGCAACGAACCCAAACTGAACCCGTTAGTTCCCGTGTCTGTACAACCGTGGAGACAGCCTCAAGATGTACGCCAAAAGGGCTACCGTTCGTTTGCAAGGACACAGCCTGAGAAGTTGCTCCCAAGCAAAAGTCCAAAAAGACTCCGCTGCAGCACAGAGATGCTGATCAATTAGGAGAAGAAGGGCAGGCACAGTTGGGCAGAGGAACTTTTTCAGGAGAACCCAAGTGCTGAGGGAGGAAAAGGGCAAAGACTATTAATTGTGCTGTCATGTGTGCAACACAGCTAACTACTCCCAAAGCTGGGTTGGCTTGCCGCAGCAGCAACAGAAGCAACGGAAAGATACCGAGGCAGAGGATCCCACTAGATGCTTCCCCAGTGGTCTATGGCCCCAACGGTCCAAAGAGGCTGCATGGTCGACTTCCTGCAGCTGTTGTTCTTGCTGTTGCTGCTGCGCTTGCTGCTGCTTTTGGCTGCAGAGCAACGCATGATTAAAAGATGCCGCTGTTTACCTCTTCATCTCATATCCCTCGTACCTATGGCTACTTTCCGTTCCGACTGTTTTGTGAACTGCCACCAGGCAGCGCCGCACACGGGACAAAATAAACACAAGAACTAAGCATCCCTGGTGTTGCAAATAATTTTGCATGCGTCTATAAACCTAAGATTCGCCGTAAACGATGGTCAGCTGTGTGCGTGTGCGTACACATACCACATACACCGCAAGTGAGTTGCCGAAGTGAATATAATATGTATATGTGCTTGCATGTATATGTGCTTCCAGATATACATACAGACAAACTAATATCTGTGGTACATACACATTAATTCAAGTACGGGCTCGTTTGGCCTGGGGCTCCTGGGAAGATTCTTCTTCCTCTTCGACATTTTCGGATTCGTCATCGATGTCTTCTGTGCTCTGTGCCTCCAGCTGTTCATCGTCTTCTTCTGGTTCCACCTCCTCTACATCATCATCACTTTCGCTGCCTTCCTGAGAATCCTCTTGTTCGAGATTGTTTTCAGTTTCTCCCTCTTGCTGTTGCAGCTGCTGGCGTTCGCGTTTCTGTCCCACAGTTGGGTGTCCCTCCTCCGCAAGGGCCCCCCCGTCTCCTTCTTCTTCATCTTCTTCATCTTCTAAACTCTCGTCAAGGTCCTCACTTAGCACGTCCTCTTCTTCCTGTTCCTCTTCATCATCCTCCTCCTCATCATCATCATCATCCTCTTCCTCCCCGTCCTGCCCCCCCTCCTCCACTCCTTGAGGCGGCACCGACGCCGGCCCTCCACCTTCTTCCCCTTCTATCGACGCCTCGTCGTCTTCCTCCTCATATACTTCACTGGCTGTAGGTAGCACAACCATACATACATGTATATAAACCTATTTGCAGACATATACACGAATGTACAAACACGTGCACAAGCAGACGGATGCATGCGAAGATGCACCCATACACAATTGTCGATAGAAACTGAAGAAAACACAGAGGATCGTGCCGCATGCAGATATAGACAGCTTCGATGAAATTAAGTTGCGGTTATTGATGAATATTCACTTTAGGCACCCCCCAAAGAAGTGCATGCGTTGCTGAAAACTTCTTGTAGGAGCAAAAGAAAAAAGAACTATTGGGGCATTTACACCTCCGACGATCGACACATAGAAACAAACTTTACGTATACGAGAGGTCTACGAATCACACTCAATAAGATTGTCAAAAGTGTCACAAATGAGTGCAAGCACCCCCTTTCCGCACAATTAGACTACCGGACTTTGTTGTTCACAGTACTTTGCGGAAAACAAATATAAAGCGAAAAAAGAAGTGGGCGGGAAATCGAACGCAAACACGCAATTTTCATATAAAAAATTAAAAAACAGAAGCCCCACCCAGCACCTGTACCATCGGCAGTGACCTGAACATACCGCTGTCAACTTGTTCCTCTGCTTCTTTCGCAGTAGGAAAGCCTGGTTGGGCTTTCGTGGACATCTTTATGAGATCTATGTACTGTATACTGACAGGTTTACCCTAGCCCTTGACTACTGCAAGCTTGTTTGCTAGTTGAAGGGTAAATGATTTGTTGTTCTCGATGCAGCAGCAGACGGTAGCCTAGACCCGTCTGCTGCTGCGCCCTGCAGACGAGCGGCCAATAGGACTGCTGCTCCTTAAAGACCTGCGAGAACTGGAGTTTATTCTTTTGTTCGTGGGGTCCAACCAGAACGAAATTCCAGTCACTATCCCCCACAAAAGGCTGCAAATAAGCAACGAACGCTGGGATGAATGCCCACAGAACAACCTGGAGGTGCACAGCCGGCAGGTTGTAGAGAACAGGAGAGCTCAGAATTCAATTGAATCTAATTCTTCAATTCTTTAAATAAAGAAACTGATTGTGTCTTGTGAAAAAATGGGGCACAAACCTGCCGCGAGTTCACCCGTCCAACGCCCTAGGAGGAAACAAGAGGCACAGGCCACGGGCGACAGGGCTTGACAGGCTGTATTCAGTTGTAAGGTTCAACAAACAAACACAAAATAGATTACATGAGTACTTTCTTGTTAATTTGCAACTTAAGTCAAACGAAGAACACAAAGCCGCTCCAGGGCATGCGTTCGCGGCAGCCTCCTCGAGTAGCGCCTATCTGCGCACTAAGCGCAGACCACAGCAGCAGCCACTGCTTCCGTGCTTTTAAAACCTGAGGTTTAAATATCATTTCATTCGCTTTTAAAATCTAAATGATCCTCTGCAGAGCACAGGTAGGAGTTTACCGCGCAGTCTCCAAAACGTGTCAAGATGAACGGGGAGATGCGTGTACTCGTCGTGGCTGAGCATGCGGAAATGAATCGGTAACAGGGGCCCTCGGCCTAGGCAGCAGAAAATCGTAAATTGCAATGGAGAAAAAATAATAAATATACGAGTTCCTCGAGAAGCATTGTAAGGGGGGCCCTGGATCTTAACTAGGACTGTCGTGAGCTGCAGTGGAGTCGAAATTGTACTGATGAGAGTTCCTTTAACACAACAGGCATCCTTCAGCAATCTTCAACCATTCTGGGCTCAGTAGCCAAGCGCTTGGAGCTGCACTAGAGAATGTGGCCTGCCATGAGTTCCAACCCTCCATGGTGCAACTCAAGATGCAGAGCAGCCCCACGAAAAGGCACAAACAAGCCTTCCTGGATATATAGGTTATATGGAGAGATCCTGCAGACACTTGTGAACTTCGGCTTGTGTACGGTGTGTCTATTAGGGCTGGATATGGTGTCATGTGCCCAGTTTCGGCATATTTGCCAATGTGGACAGATTGTCCCTGCTTATGCCATACCCCAACCCATGAACACGCAGCACCCGACCCCATGTGCCAGTGTCCACCCAGAAGATGGCTGTATTCAACTGCTACTTCCTCCTGTTGCTGAACAGCTTTGTTGACCATCGGCTGTGTATGGTACTCCGTCCTCTCCATAGCCGTGCAGCAACGCCTCGAGCTTTAAAAAAGTGGTCTGCCGAGGGTTCTGATAACATCGTATTGAAGGGGCTGAGCGGAAGACCTATTTTGAGTGTTGCAGACGCATGGAATTCAGCCTTTTGCTGTTCTGATAGTGCTGGCTTTGCTTATTGGGTTTACCTTTCACAACTGAACAAAGCAATTCTGGCGTTTCTGCGGTCGCCGTGCATTGACGTGACACACGAAGAACCCCAAGATTGTCAAATCAAGACAAACTGAAACTCGCAGGGTTGAAGCAGGCTCGCCGTAGACAGAGTTGTCAAACTAGTCCTCAGCCCAAGAGACCAGTTGGCACATCAACACCTAGCACAAAATTCTTGTCCTCGTGTGTTGTGGAGTTGCAATGATTACCGAATAACTAGGCGAGTTACAACCTTAGCCTGTCTTGTTTACGTCGACGCCCGCAGGAGTTGCCGTCGAAGCAAGGATGATATATAGATGCTTGCTTATTCATCTCGCCCTCTTCCTGGGCATTTAATGTAATATTCTCGACTTTTGTTGTGAGCATTGGTTCACAAGCATTTACGAACTCGGTCTCCTCCGTTTGTGGCTTCCCACCACGAGGTTGCTGACACTCTGCTGGTAAAGTTCGGAAGTATTTGAGTGATTCCCTTGTCCGTTGTAGAAAACCAGCACTAATCATAGGATGACACCTCCAAGTTGAGGTCACGTCAGCGACGTCAATCAAAGCACTAGTTGAAGAGCTACACAGCAAAAGTTTATAGCCAACGCCCAGCAAGCTTATATGGCTACTCGCCTTCGTCTATGCATCGGAAAGCGTTCAAATCTACCAAAACACAATGGCTTGAGTCCAATGCAACCGCTGAACGTTGTCGGTCGTAGCTACTATCCTGCCGTTTCTGTTTTGGTATTATGCATTACTGTGCTGCTACGATCTACTTTGAGACTTCTGGGGTTGCAGAGGAATGGAACCCGTTTCCGACAGGCAAATCTGAAGTAGGTTCGGCAAGACTCGTCTCGGTGGAGACTACGAATGCAGCATACTAACGAATACATGATGAACGCATTTAACAAAGTGAAGGAAATCAAGCCACTTCGAAAATTGTGCTGGGATATAGTCGTATATGCTGAAACAGAGCGCGCTTAGTGCGATCAATTTTACCGGCTGTCTTTAACTGCTTTGCGGTCACGCTATGGTCGGTTTGTCGAAGGTTCCGGAATTTTTTCCAGAAGACCGAATAGACACTTTAATTGTGCTTGCAGAGGGTAATAATGAATACTTCAGCCATTCCATCTGGTGTAACCGAACTAGAATCGCGGATCAAGTTGGAATACTTTTTGAGCCTGTCCACTACGACGCAGTTGGTATCGTAGCTTTCGACTGAAGCCAAGTTCACTATCTGCCCATATTCGTTCGGAAACCGGACAGCTATGCAAGAATCCTTTTTTGGGTTTTTCATGCGGGGAACGTGAGGCCGTATTTTTCCGTTGAAGCGGATTATCCTAGGGACAATCCTAGGGACAATCCAGGGCCGCAGACAGGACCTTGTCGCAATATCTGCTGTTCTGATGGCCCCTTCTTGACCGACCGGTAGCAACCTTTTATTTCAGAATTCCCACGTGGATAAGCACTTAAACCGTGCTCTTCTTCCGTTGCTCAACATTAGTGTGCGCATGAGGGAGACACTTTCCAGACAACAACACCATTTCTTTGTTGGCCTTTGCGAACGCTTCGACCAAAGTTATAACATTGTGTGGACGTTATAGAATGCCTGTACACTATAGTGTGTGCCCACACGTTAAACGAACAAATACCTGTAAAGGGGTGTTCCCAACGCACAGCAGGCCTGTTCAGCTGCCTACACATTTGAGAAGAACCCCAGATATCATCGTTTCTCAGGCTGATATGGAATCAAATTTGTAAAGATGAGAGTTCAGTAAAAGTATTTCGCCTCCCTCTCCTGTCGTGGCATCCTTTGCAGAGCGACCCGAACACCTGAAGACGCACTTGAGCAGACTACCTGCCACATGGCGCAACGCACACTCCCAAAACAAGTAGTGCAGCACACCCACGCAGACAATACAAACAGATCCCCTTTTGGTGCGTGCACTTATACCATGGGCAGTTATTGAATTCTTCGGCTTGTGGCCAGACTGCCTACAACCAGCAGAGAAAGGTTCATTTGCCAATCTGAGAAGTACTTGCTCACGCCTGCAAAATATAACCTATAACCAATTGGGCTTTGTTATGTATGCTAGTCGAGATTCACTTTTCATAGTTCAACTTCCGGCAATTGTCTGCAAATGCGCATGCAGTTGGCAATTACCTCTGCGCCAACGCACCACTGCAGTAACTTCTTTGGTGTCTACCACTGGAACTAATCTCCTTTTTCTTGTAGATGAGCTCTCATTCGTCACTTATTTTGGGGGATTGTAATTTGGTGACGGTTCAGCACACAGCAATTGAAATGAAGGGCATGGGGTTCATGGGGTTTATAGTGATATGCAACGGTCTCCTCAGGTGCTGAAAATATCTTATGCATAGAGAAAGGGCGAGAAGAACCAATAAAAATACGGAAGAAGTGACGACTCGAACAAACAAATGGATTTTGCCTTGTTCTCTCTCGTGCTTTTCCTCAGCTTGCCACGTTACTCAAGTTGTCTGCTTTCCAACCGTTTTCGTTTGGACTGTTCTTGGGTTGAGGCTGTCTTAACCTGCATACGAAGTACTTATATTCACAACTACCTGCCTTCCTGCATCAACTCTGTGTTGGTTGTTGCGTTTGTTGCCACACCCCTTAATATTCTCTCAGCCATTTATAATTATTACTAATTGCGCTCTGTATTTAATGCTTGTCCAGACTATCTGCTACATAGTTAGTTGATACCCGAAGTAAACCACTCGTCTCTTCTTACCCTTCCCGACTCTTTTGTCTACTGCATGCGTTATTCGACGCATCGAAAGTATTCCCTGGTGTGAAAATATCAAAACCAATGGACAGACTGTCTGTCTGGATGAGCTGGACCTATTAATTGCACTAGATCCGCTGAGAGGGTCGACCGTGTGGACGTACTTCACGTGCTACGATAAGATGAATGTACTCATGTGCGTCTGTTTAGCTGAGCTTGCAAAATACGAGCAAAGCAACTGTCCTGAGTTGCATTCCACGGAATACGTGTCCGTATTCATTCACAATCTGTCCTGAGTTTGACGCCCCTTAAGTTGGCTTTGAAGGCCTCACGTGACATCCATTTGCATCACAGAATCAAACTCGTCTATTTCTCTGTGGCTTCTTGAATGGTCTTTGCATGAACGGGTGGCATATTCTTCTGCTACAATTACCTAGTCAGCATGCAGCAATGAGGGAATACGGTAAATATGCATTGTACAGTTAATTCCACCCCTTCCCTTGTGGACGTTAAACGGTACTGCCTAGTGTAAACAATGTCTAGTATTTTGCTTTTGTTCATCCTTCTCTTCAGCTCCCTAGTGGACCGCATGAACGGTACTCAGCTGCAACTGAAGGCAACTTTGCGAATCTTAAGTTTCTATTCTGGCAGTGCACAGCATGCCTTACTGCTAGGGTGCATAGCATTGGTGTCCTGGTTGATGTAATCTTACTTTGGCACGCATAGATCGGCTTCGTTGCATATACTCTTTTTGCACTTTTTTGTGGCTGGTGGTATTCCAATGGGGGAGGATGTACACATGTTGAATTTTTCACTCTCTTAAGCGCCTGTATTGTGAAAATTTGTTTCCGAAAATATTACTCAGAAGCATGAATTTTCAACCAACAACCTATCTCGTCAATTTCATGTGTGTGGCAGATGGTTCTATTGTCTCTTATCGTGTGAAAACATACCCCATCCCCAACAGTAAAAGAATAGCCAGAGATCCTGATATGAATATATGATGAATCAGGCTATATCCATTAAACATTGCTTCAAAACTTCACTTTGCCGTTAGGTGTCTCTTCGGCCTTATGACAATCTCGGAATTTGTGCCAGCTCTGTTCGCCGGATGCGCTGTTACTGTTGCTAAGTCTAAACTCCTCCTAAGTACGGACAAACATAATTTCCCGAAATCTGAATTTCAATATTGAAAAGCGCCTGCCACACAGATAAGCCTGAAATTTCAAGTTCAAGGCTACACTTGGATGGTCTGTGGAGAATCGAATTAACGGGTGGCACCCAGTCTAACGAAGAGCGAAGCCCACCTGAGAATACCTTTTTGCCACTTTTACAGAAACTAGCTAATCAAAATAGTAGTGTCGTGTATTTGAAAATGCTGGAGGTAAGGGCAGGGGTGAAAAAACCAGCCCCATACTCAGCATGACGGTGTTCGCGTGCTCGGGCGAGCCCGGTCGCATGCGTGTCTATTTCTCTTTCGACAGTTTATATTTAAGTTAAACGGTTGCTTACGTGAATAGCATTCCACTAGTGCTTTTATAATGGATGCTCAGCCTCGGCGAGCCCCATGAACTGGTGCCGGCAACGGCTAAGACCAACTCCTGGAAGGTCGTTGGAGGTCACCTGCCAAGACAGGCTGTGACGACCTAGCAAACAACCCCTGTGGTTAGTACGCTCTTAAACTTAATTCAAATTTGAGTGTATTCGCATGGCAGGTGAAGGATGCAGGGTGACATGAGGATACACGCAAATCGTGTTCCGAGCTGCCTGCCTCCTCGTTCATCTCGAGCTCCTTGCGAGTAAAGATGCCTTAATCCGCCGAGCCCTAGCAGCTAAAAAGTTAGAGCTGATCCCTTGGGCCGGCAACTCTACATCTGATGGGAGTTGTATCTGGCTCGTTTTGTGTGTGGGGTTGGTCGAAGCGAGTTCCTGCTCGCCCGCTGAAGCAGCATGAGAGCAGCAGTCATCGAGAACGCTGCAGGCGCAACTGCATCTGCCCCTCCACGCCCCCTGGCTGCCCCTACCTGTCTTCGGATAAAACAGGAGCCACAGAACATTAGCGAGAGAGGACCCTCTCATGCGTCACCACGGCTCATCTGCAGCACGTGCAGCAACGCAAAGTCGAGATCGGCTAAAAGCAAAAGGGGTCACACATTGCCTCCCTGGGACTTGGTACCCCACCCGCGTCACATATTATTCAACGATTTGTCTCCTCTATCTCGCCGCAGGTTCCCCCTAACGATTTTGAACAGAGGCAAGAGGCCACAACCCGTTCGCGTGTTGAACCGGCCAAACGGTGGTCTGCACATTGGCACAGGCAACCACCTCTCACTCAACCCTGTGATCTGTCCCCTGCTGGCACCGGGGCTTTCCCTAAGGGTTCACGTAGGGGCACCCCCGCTTTTGGGGACTTCCGTTGAGCAAGCTTTGAGGGTGGTGGGCCCAGAAGGACACGAGGTAGAGGTCCCCGTGGAGGGGAGCGCTTCGTTGCTTAGTTTCACTTGTCCTCCGTTGCTACAGTTCTCGCCGGTGCCTCCAGGAGTGCAGCAGCAGCAGCAGTTGCCGATAACGAACACTAGTTCTTACAGCATTAAGGTGGCAATAGAAATAGCCCAAGCCGATATCTCTTCGTCTATCAAAGCGTTGTTGGACCAGAAGCTGCTGCAGGTCTCTTTTCACCCTCAGCAGCTGCTCCTAGAGCCACTTGAAGTCGGTTGCATCAACGTGCAGCTCAAGACAGACTGCCCAACAGAGGTGAGCCTCTCGCTGTTGCTGGTCTGTAAGCGAACTCCAAAGGCGCCGTCTTGCCCTCGATGCAGCATCGTACCCCTCAACGGGCTTCATCCCAAGAGGTCCCTGGCTGGGGGTCGTCTGAGGGAGAAAGAGCTAAAACAGCGGGCATCCGAAGGGATCCAAACAAAGATCAATGGAGCCTCTCCCACACAACCAGAAACAGTGCAATGGTCGGGCCTGCCCCCGAAAGTGGAGGCACAAGTGCAGCTGCAGGCGGCCAGCGTCGTTCCTCGCTGGGCATTTACAGTTGAGGGCTCCGAGCTGCAATGCATCGACTTTGGGGCTTTGTACCACGGAGAGGAGCGCTGCCTGACGGTGCACGCAAACAACCTCGGGGCTATCCCTCTTGCCATGAGCTTCCTTGTTCCTCAGAACAGCCTGTCCTGCTACCCAGCAGGTCTAGGGCCTCGGAACCTAAACAGTTCCCCTCTCATGCAGCTAACACATGGAGGCAACCCTAAAGAGCTTCAGGAGAAGGCATTGCCCTTTGACACCCTCACACTCCCGTCTTCATTGCAGGCGCCATCAGACCGAGAAGCCATCCTCACCCCGCGTGTCGGGGACAGCAACACTAGCCGCAACACTGCCTACCCTGCAACAGAAACGCCTTTTAAACCCCCCAAAGCCGCTACACCAACTCAAGGGTGCCTAGGCACTGGTACTATACATCGCCGCAGCTCCTGCACAGTCCCCGTACTCCGTAGCTGCAGCAGTGCGCAGCAGCAGCAACAGCAACTTGAGGTGGTGCAGGCGTTTAAGCAGTCAGAAAGAGCAGCCAACCAACCTTCTTCGCCGATTGGGCTCCAGAAGTTGGAAGGGATTGGGCCGTTTGCTCTTGCACCAATAGATTTGAATTGTTCGAAGTCAGAGGAATGCTGTTGGTGCGAGTCTTCCAGCAGTGCAAGTCCCAAAGACACCCCCTGGGAAGCCCTCGTGGAACAGTTTAGCTCCTACCATCAACAGGAGTCCCCAGCGGAGGCACCAAATGGGCTTCCAGAGGAGCCGCCTGCCCCTTCAGCAAGCGTGGACGGTCCCACACTTCAAAGCAGAGGGCTGAGCCGTCGTGGGCGGAGTTCCCGTATGTTCAGAAGAGGGGTAGACAGCAGCTCAGATTCAAAAAAGACCGCAGGCTCCTCGATCCTGCACCGCGGGGAGCACACAGCGTCTTCACGCGCTTCCCCTCGACAAATTAACATGCAGCCAGTAACGTCCCCGCCCACAGCCAGGCCCCCGCCTTCTCAGAAGCAGCAGCGCTCAACGTCCTCCCACTTCAACTCGAAGGCTGGACCTCAGCCAGAGTCAACACCTGCTACAGCTGCTGCAGTTGCTACAGCTGGTGCACCTGCAGCTGTTGTTGCTGATGCTCCGCCTGCTTTGGGTGCTTCGGGTGCATCTGGTACTCTTGCTGCGACTGAAGGTGCTGCTGCTGCTGTTGCAGCAGTCACATGGAAGGAGAGGTCAGGGGCTTTGTGGGGCCCACTGGCAGCGTTGTCTGAGGAAGTGCCTCTTGGGCTGCCTCCTCCCCCTCGCCGTTCCACCTGCTCTCCCCTTTTGCCTGTATCGCTGCAGCTGCGTCGTTTGTCAGACCCCTTCTTTGTATTGGGATCCCCTGGGACCTTTAGTGGCCCCCAGGATAGCGGGGGCCTCTGTGCTATTGAGGTGACGCCGTCTGCGTTGCTGCTGCCTCCGCGAGGCACTGCAGCAGTCCGCCTGAAATTGCGTAGTCCACCTTGTGAACTGCAGGTAGGCTTTCAACACCTCGAGAGCTGGAAAAACGTCAAGGTGCCAGTGTCATTTCACTTCCACGTCCTAGTGACTGTCCCCGGCCTACGAAACGCCACTTGCAGCCATCAGCCCACCACTCTAGCTGGGCCCCGCAACCAGGCAGGCAAGTACCCTTGCAGCAGAAACAGTAACACCAGTAGCAACGCCAACAGTAGCAGTGGCGGCTGTGGCGGGAGCGAGTGCGGAGTACCTACGATGGGATTGTCTTCTGTACCAAAAAGATCTGGTAAGACATTCTCCCATGAGCACAGCAGCCCCATGACAGCTCGTACCCATGCCCTGAAGACAGAGGGTCCCCAAGGAAGGCCTGTGGTGGCGAGGCTCCGCCCAGAGACAGCGGGGGCAACAGCTGGCTTGGCAGGCACTCGAAGGAGAGACACATGCTACAACGGCAACCTCTCAAAAAGCGATAGAGGCAGCACACCCTGCGTCCTTTCCTCGCTGCACCAGCTGCTCCTCAAGGCCATCCCTGCAGAAACAAATGCAGCAAAAAAAAAGGAAGAAAGGCGCCAGAAAGCATGCACACGCTCGCCTCCTCAGTCGCTGAACCCCACCACCGACCCTTGTTACTGCTGTTGCTGCTGCCCCACAAACTGCTGCTGCTGCTGCTGCTCTACAGGCAAGCAAGCTGGCGCAGCGTATCCAGTGCCGGGTCCTGCGCCGGGACAAGCCACTAACAGCGGCAGCAGCAGCGGCACTTCATCCAGTGGGTTTTGTAGTGGTGTATCGGTGGCTGCGCGTATGGGATGTCGAACTAAAGAAGGTCCGTATCAACAGCTACTGAGCCCGTATCTTCATCATCAGTTTTTCGCTGGGCGTTTTGAACTGAGGCTTCCGAGGCTGGAGGTATCTCCTGGGGCCCTTCATTTTCCTGGTTGCGTAGTGGGGGACGAACAGCAGCAGGTTCTGCTGCTGCTCAACTGCAGCAGCACGCGACAGCTGGACTTCTGCATCGAAGCTCGGCACCCCTTTCAATGCAAACCTGCGAGGGGCCTGTTGCCGCCTCAACAGCAGTTCAAAGTTTATGTGACTTTTACCCCCAAGCGTTTGGGGCCCTTCGCACAGACGCTGAAGGTCGCCTTCTGCAACAAGGCCTATATTCGCAGCATTCGCCTCACTGGTGCAGGCGTCAGCAACCCCAAACCAAGAACACAAGAAAGTGCGTAGGTGCAGCTGAGTCCCCCACAGCAGCTTACGCAACTGCCGTAGCGGGCGGAGAAGCAAAGGACGGCGCAGCAGTAAGAGCAGCAGTAGCAGCAGCGGCAGCTGCGGTGCCTCGTCTACTACTGCAGTACCCCACAAGCCCACTTCAGAAAGAGGGACATTGGAAGACAGCCGTACGCACGCAGTCGGAATCTCTCCACTGCTGCCCCATATCCGAACAAGGTGACTGCGGCATCACGCTGCGCTCCTTCACGGACTTCTATTTGTATGTATAGTGTGCATTTGCCGCGGGGCAATGGAAGACATATGTAAATAGCGGTTGTTGAAGTGTATGTACACTTCAATGAAAGCAATACCTCTATGGGCGCTTAATGCTTCTTCTGCGGTATTGGTATTGGCTGCTAAGCGATCGGCTGCCACTCTTGCTGCGTCGACACAGAAGAAAACAGCGAAAACTGGTGTCTTATAGTCTCGAACAAAATGCGCTTGCTACACATACGGGACCACTAGACACTGGCGTAAACGTACACCAGGAACCCTTAGTTCGGTGACGCCTCCTTTCCAAGCAAAGGCAGGCTTTTGATTTTATTTTTGCGGTTACCGGCATCAAGGGGATACACTTTAGCATAGTGGACCACTGCAGAAAAGGAATCCCCTTACCTTTTGATGCCGTGTGCCCCAAACCTCAGAATCTACATCCGAAAGCCTAAACTTCTGGATGATAGCCTGCGTTTGCAGTTGCATGCGTTATTGTTGATTTCTTCCAACGCTGATAGTGGTTATGCAGGCCAGTCTTGAGTTTGTCTGCCTTGCACAGCCTATGAGCAATTGTGTGTCTGCATCTAGTTTGTACCAACATCAATGCACAGTTGCAAGCGTATGGTTGCATGCATGAGCCTAAGTAATTGTCTGAATAGCTCAGTATTATTACTTCTGAGATAACGACGAGCTACAACGCCTGCATACATGCAAAGCTGAAAAGAGTGGGAGTATCTGCCCCAATTGCGCTGTTCAAGCCTTGTGTGATGAAGCAAAGCATGTCTATAGCCATGAACAATAGTAAACCTCAAAACTAATTCCGCAAAACATGCATTTCCTAGATACTCAGATGGAAAAACCGCAGCTGTGTTCGGCTTGCTGTTCCTTTCTTCTCCAGAAGACTGTCGTTCGCTGTATATCAACAACGCAATTCACTAGCCCAAAACGTCCAGTTTAGGTATGTCAAGGGAAATAAAGAGGCAAAAGGATTCATTTAGTGAGACGGCAACGCCGTTGTGCACCAGCCGCGAGAAGGCGGGATGTACGGGGAGAGCGGCTCGTCGACTGCTGTAGGACATGAGCTGTAGCAGAGGACTTGCGCTGCGTTGCCTCCATCAGCCACCTCAGAAAGCTGCACCTCTTCACCTGTAGCCAATGTAGCAACTGCTGCTGCTGCACGTGACCAGCTTTGCACAGTATGCACAGCAGCAGTCACTGAATGCTGCAGCGGTCCCCGCTGCTCCTGACTGGGCTTTTGGGAGGATGAAACAACCGTTGCAGGGCCAAGGATATAGCCTGGCTGGCGCTCAGCTTGCTGTAGCTTCCTAACCAGTGCATCCATCTCTGCAGCAGCAGCACGAGCAGCATCTCAACTTCATGACTTTTGGCAATGTTAATCCCAGTGAGGCAACGAAGAGGCAGCGAAGCGAACGCCACGCTCACCTGCTTCGTGCGCAGCGTAATCCGTTAAGTCTGAGACCTTCGAGCTGATGAGGAAGTCGTTGATGCTCCCGCCGTTGTTGTTGCTGCTGCTGTTGCGATCGTGTGCCAAGACGAGCGACGGCTGCACTAGACGGGTCTTAGGAGACCCGGCGGGGCTGTTGTCTGCGCTGCTGCGACTGAGCCCTAATGGCAGGGTAGCTGAAGACTCAGGCGACAAACCAAAATTGTGCATTCCTTCATCAGACCGGCATGGCCGGTCCCACTGCACCCCGTTGCTGCCTCGGCGGTGCCCGGATGATGAACTCAGTTGTAGCAGCGTTGGCTGCTGCTGATGGTGAAAAAGAAAGCCATTGGTCCTTTTGGGCATATCTTGGCTTTGCAGCGAGGATTTGGGGGATTGCAGCCCATACAGATCTTCTACACCTGAAGCAGCAGCAGCAGCAGCTGCTGCTGCAGCTGCTGCTGCCCCTTGGTGAGAACCAATTGCCGGGGGGAGGTATATGAAGGGCTTGTCATATGCTGAAGCCTCTTGACTCAATACACGGTCACGATGGCAGTCAATTAGGTCGGAGGAAACGTCCAGCAGCTGTTGCAGTCTTGCTGAAGCCGCTGCTGCTTCTGCTGCTGAAACACGACTGGATATGTCCGTCTCGAAGGCGCTGCTGCCCATACAGGCAGTTTGTTGTGTTGCTACACTTGCAGCAGCTCTTGCCGCCTCTGTGCTGCATGCAACAAGTGCAGCGGCGTGTGACCGCAGAGCAGAGAAGCCCAACGCCTGCTGCTTGAGAGTCTGCATTTGCAGCCACGTCCCTAGCTGCAGCAGCAGCTGCAACCTTAAGAATGATCTGCATTTCACATGTTTGAGACAGGACACAAGAATTCGCAACTTCTGTCTGCTGTAGCTTGTGCTGCAGCAGGAAGCAGACGGCAGCAAGTAAGCAGTACTGAACACCGGACATTAGCGTCCTCACGCATTTTTAGTTCCGTATTGTGTCTAAGAATGCACATTGCAGTTAAATGCCATTACATTTGTATGTACGTTGGACAGGAGCCACCCAAGGGAAGTTCCCTTACCGCATCGTCTGGCCTGTGGCCTGCAACTGCAGCAACCTTACAAACGCATCACGAACCTGACGGAACCTGCAGAATACGCAACAACGAGAACAACAACAGCATCAGCAAAACACACAGCAATTGTAGCGTGAAAGGGAAAATGGAGCCGGTTCCTTGCGGCAATCTCAAGACGGAGAGGGCTGTTGTCTCTTTGCCTTTTTGTCTGCATTGTGGATATTCTGGTGCACTGCCGTCCACAACTGCCTTCGTTTGAATTTTACTAATAGCACTTCTTGCATCTCCCTGATCATTAAATTCACGTGGGGAGGCTAGCACAAGACCTACTGCGCCTTTTCTATGACACCAGCCAGCTGACGGGCTGCTCTCCGGCAGCAGCCCTCCGGCTTGGGCCGTTGCATGCAAAGCCATGCGAACCGCAAACGCTGCAGTTGTTGCTCCTTAATAAGCAATCCAAGTAGCCAAGCAGCCCTCATCTGTGACACACAAAACATCAGCACCAGCTGCTATGTGTCCACAAGCTTGCTGCTGGAGCACCACTTAACCAACAGCCTAACTATAAACATTAAACCCTGAACTTTGAATTCTAAAAACTTGCCTTTTGCCTGCTCAATTCTCGATCGTCGTGTACGTGTTTCCGGAGGCAGTTGAAGGCTACAAGCATAAGGCGCTCGCGCTTCATTTGCAGTAGCAGCAGAAGAATCAGCAGTGCCCTATCCCGCTGCTTAGCATTCCTAATTGCTGCTGTCCAGCTGTGCAGGGCCCACGACATCCTCTCGTGATGCATCTGTTGCAGCGCTGCTGCCAGTAGCATCGCAGATCGCTGCTGTGGCACTTGTCTCAATGACGCCAATAGCCGTTCGTTCACCTGCAGGCCTCACAGTACTCGCAGAAATCAACAGGTCACCTCAGCATAGTTACCGAGGTAGCTACCTAGACAGAAGCCGGGGCTCCCCATAGAAAGATCCAGCGGATTCCCTTGTGTGGCAAGTGCCTGGCAGCCGGGTCAGTGATGCAGCTCAGCTAGCCAGCTCCGCTAGCAGCTCAGCTAATTGATTGACCCATCGTCCTTCAGGTATGGTAAGGGCTGCAGCCACAGGTAGCGAAGCTGCAATATGCCTGAAATATAGGAGGGAACAAAAGCCTTACTTGTTGCATGTTGCTGCAGATCCGGTGCTTCTCTTCGGCGTTTGCTGCTGCAGCATGGCGTTGCAGATGTCGAAGGGAGCTGCGCATGCGAGCTCTGATGCATAGCGAGACAAGAAAAAGAGCCCTCTGCTGTCCTGCTTGTGCAGCTAGCCGACGCGAGGTGGTGAACCACATCAGGCGCTGCCAGCCCCACTTGAGGCGCCGCATCCGCATGTGCTGGAGCAGCTGCTGCACAGCTCGTTGCTGCAGCTGCCGCTGAAGCACTAATTTCCGCAGTCGGAAGAAGACCCCATGAAGCAGCCGGCGCTGCAGCGTTTGCACGGAGCAGCAAAGCTGCACAGCTTGTCCCTTCAGCGTTTGCTGCTGAGCCGTTCTGACAGTGGTCAGAAGCCGAAGCCGCAGAAATACTGCATGCAGCCGCCTCTCAACAAGACGGCCTAAGGCGTACTTGAGCTGCTGGCGAGCCACCTCCAGCCGGTTTGTGGCGAGCTGCAGGTGTCCTGAGGCCATGGCAGCAACCACTGCTGCAGCCTGTTGCTGTTGCTGTTTATGTAGCGCATGCATACGCAGCCCCTGAACAGCCCATGCAACGTTTTGCCGCTTCCGCAACCGGATCCATTGCTGCAACACCAAAACCCCTCGAGACGTCTGAGCTGTACGGTGCTCTGTTGCAGCAGCAGATGCTGCTGCTATGGCACGGAGCCTCCCCAGGAACTCGCGGGCCCAGCGCCGAGAGCCTTCCTTCACAAGAGCAGCCACCTGGGTCAGGAGCAAACTCCTCGTGGCTGCGTGCAGCTGCTTGTGCAACAACTGCAGCTGCTGTTGACAGGGGGGTCGGTACAGAAAGTCCGGTACTGAAGGACGCGACCTGAGTAGGACCCAAACAGCCGCATGTATGATTTTTCTGTGCCATTTGTTTGGTAACCAGATCCGCAACCAAATTCAATAAATTAACGCAGTGTAGCCAACTGAAAATCCCTGATGCTGTTCCCTTTGGTGTAATTGCTGCACATATCGTCGCTGCTACCGTCTAGAGTCAGTTGCAACCACTGCTCGTCCACCGCTACTCTCAAGTGCATAATCAAACCGATGACACTGTTGCTGCTTCTTATGTCTCACGACTACTACTACTACTACTACTACTACTACTACTACTGCTACTACTACTAATACTACTAATACGAATACTAATACTGCTACTACTACTGTTTCTGTTGTTGCTTCTGTTGCTGCTGCTTCTCTTGCTGTGGGTGGTATCTCACCTCCACTTGTCTGCCAAGTACAAAATGTGTTTGAGGAGGGCATCTCTCTCCGTTGCACTTTGTAATCCGAAAACAATGGTTCTGGCTGCCTTGTGCTTCCTCGCTGTTCCCTCTCCTCGACAGTTTGTTGCTGCTGCCGCTGCCGAAGCCACAAGCTTCATGCGGTAGGGCGCCTTTCCCTTAGCAGCAGTAGCAGCAGAGATCCTGCCCCTGCCATCTACTGCCCATGCAGATGCAATTGAAGCCAGAGGAACTAACAGGGAAACCTCAAGGGGCTCAGTGCTGCTGCAGAATAGCAGCAGATTCTGGTGCAGCAGTAAGTCCTCCTCCAGCCATCGCGGGGGCAGAAGACCTTTGAACCGCCACACACGCGTCTGAAAAATGCACAGAGGATAGACACAACCAAACTTTAGGTTTGCGTCTGCTGCTACAGGTCACGAAGCTGCTGCTGCATCCACTGAAACTGCACTACTGATGGGGCAGCACTGGTTCTGCTACTACTGTCGGATTGACAGTCTGACAATCAAAGACAAAAATTACTGCAGTTCGAAAAGAGATAGCAGCAGTATCACAGTACCCGCAGCAACTGCAGGGGTGCAGCAAGCGCAGCAGCGATACGAACCTTGAGGGTTGTTTCACTTGGTGATGGGAGAGAAAGGAGGGCACCGAGACTCTGAGCCTCTAGAAAGGCGTAGGACGGTGAAGAAATTGCTGGAAGCATCTCAGCCAGTGTCCGCTGCTGCTGCTGCTGCTGCGCCTGCTGCTGCTTCTGCGTCTGCACGAGTTGCAAAGCGGCGTCCGTCACCGAATCGCGGCGTGAAGGAGCATCAGCACCAACAGAAACAAAAGGCCCATCTGTACTTACATCAACAGCTGTTGTAGAGCCCACCCTCTGCTTCAGATTCTCGCTTATTCTCAGGCTCCTAGGAGAGGGGGGCATGCGCAGACCAAGGTCCTCTACATCAGACCCTGTAACAGAGCCAGTGCGGGTTCGAACCCCGGTAGCAGCAGAGGAAAGAAATACGGGGCGGGCAGCACCATGCGCAGCAACTGGAGCAAACTGGAAAGGGGAGACAGGGAAAGGAGCAACACCAACTGCAGCTGCTGTGGCTCCAGATGACCCTTCTGCAACGGATGCTGATGATGATATTGTTCCTGTGGGAGATGGCGGGTGCAGAGACGATATACAGGAGATAGGAGTGGCAGACAGCTGCTCTGAAAATGAACTATCAGCAGCAGAAATGTGCCCCACTCTACTGCTACACCTGCTCTCATCGCTTTTGTTGCTGCTGCTTCTACTGCTGCTTCTGCCGGTGCTTCTGCTCCTGCAACTGCTGCTGCTTCTGCTGCTGCTCCTGTTCCTGTGTCTTGCTCGCGTTTCTTTTTCGAGGGTGTACGGCTCCTCTGCAGGCAGTTCCCCTACAACAGAAGCGGCAGCTGCAGCAGCTGCAGCTGCTACGGCCGCAGCTTTCCTTGCTGCAGCTGCTGCAACAGTTTTGCTGCTCTGCAGCAGAAGCGGTGCCTTGCTGCTGACTTGTCGAGCAAAGGACGACATCCCGCCAAACGCAGAACTGCTGAAAGAGGCAAAGGAGCGGCCACCTCTGAAGAGATCCTGGTGATGAGCTGGAGGTATCCAGAAAGTTGTTGCCTTTGTTGTTGCTGTTGCTGCTGGCTGTGCGGCAGATGTTGTTTTGTGTCTCAAAGGGATAACATGGCGTCCGAGTGCCGCAGCAGATGCCCCCCCGTCCTCGAGCCCAATGTGGAGGGGACCGGCTGCGACATCGTTTGCTGTTGCTGCAGACACAGGTTCTACTGTGGCAGTATACTGCATATCGTGATGTCTCTGATGCAGTGCTGTTGTATGTGTGGCCTCTACAACTGCTGCTGCTGCTGTTGCTGCTTCTGAAACACAAAGCGGATGGAACTGTTGGCGCGGTACTGAAAACGGCCGTCTGAAAGCATGAGACGCCGCCGTTGTGGCTATATCCCTCTTGTCCGTCTGCAGGTTACTGTTGCTTCTGTTGCTGCTGCTGTTGCTGCTGTTACCGCAGCTGCCGATATCTGCACGTCCTTCTCTACCGACGGCCTCGTCATTCCTGTTAACCCAGCTGCTGTTTAGCCTTGTTAGGCGGTTGCAAGACAAAGTACTAGTCGTGGTACTTCGGCTGTTCCTGCACCTGGAGGAGTCACTGGAATGCCGGCTTGTCGTAAGGCCTCCGATTGCAGAAGAAGCAGCAACGGCACCGGGAGTGCTGAGATTTTCATTATCTCCTGTGCACAGATCATCCTGCTGCTGATTATGCTTCAACATGTGGGGGTCCTGGAGGTAAAGAGCTGCACTTCTGTATCGCCGTGCAGGGACGTGATGTACCATGCAGTCATTGCTGCTGCTGATACTGCTGCTGCTGCTACTTGTGCTGCTGCTACTGATACTGCTGCTGCTGCCATTGCTTCTGCTGTTATTGGCCTCTTTTGATGAAACAAACGGTCCAAAGTCTGAATCTGTGGGTACTTGTGCTGGCTGGGCCTCTGAGAGCCCACCGCCGACATCTTCTGTGGATACCGTCTCTGCTGCTGGGAGAGCAACGGGCACGTGTAGGGGCCCCTGAGAGGCAGTGAGCACTCTTTGATGTGCGCTTTCAGTCATCTCCGAGACTGATGAATGCCCTCGCGGGACATCCTTGCTTCGGGGCTGCTGCTGCTGCTGCTGCTGCGAGAATCGATTGTGCCCAGCATCAAGCTGGGGGCAGGGGTGAGGCCCTGCGGCCTTTGGGACCTTAATTTACCCGCTAAACTAGGGAAGACAAAGCGTTAATGTATTGAAATAGGAAGAGCCTGGGTCCTTCTATTTCCAAGGAGAGCAGCAAGCTGTCGGCTGCCTCTGGCTGGACCTTCTTCGCCGTTGCGGCGGCCCAGCGATTGCCGACATGCAGACGAGAACTGCAGAGAGCAAATTGAAGAAGAAATTCAAAATTTATGGAATGCAATACAAATTCGAGAAACAATCATCGGCTTCTCCAAAGTAAGGTGCAACAGTTCAGTCGCCTCCGTCGGGGGTGAGAGCCGGGCTGCTGCTGTGGCTCAGGCTGCGTCTGAGATCTGCCGTTGTGGCCGGGCGCGAGCAAAAGAAATGCAGCTGTAGTATCTTCGCTTAAACTGAAATTACTTCCAGAAACATTTTTTCGCGAAAGAGGAATATGATTAAGGAGAAGCGGCAGATAGGGGATCGTATAGACGCCCTGTTGCACATCAGCGCGCAGGTATCCTCCAATCAATGTAGACGGGAAAGACGCTTCTGTACAATAGAAGAGACTCTTGGCCTAATCACTTCACCCTTCTCAACACAAAAGTAAATCAGTGTACAGCAATAGGCATGCATGCCTGCCCGCTCCCTACCGGGCTGTCATCCCGCCGGTTTGGCACATTGTCGGCGCCCAAAAATAATTGTTTTCTCCGGCTTCTACTGTGCTGTGATCTCGCCTAAGTTGTGGCACACCAACCAACATGCCCTTTGTATGTAAGATGTGGAAGATCTACTACTGATGCGCCTCACTATAGTCCTCCTCTACACACGCTGCCCTGTTGTACCTAGAACACAGGTCCTGGATCTAGTCCGACGACTATTGCGAGCTGCAGTGGTGCCAAAATACTTAAACTGATAGTTCTGTAAGAGCATCTGACCTCCCACCCCAGTCTCCAGGCGAACTGAGAGCAGCGGCTCAAGCGCCTCGACTGGGCGAACCTGCGACACCGCAGGTGTCTGGTCATGGGCTGCAGCGCACCTTGGTGCAGCTGACAGTGTTGGCAAGCACTGCATAGACGCACAAGCGAGCCTTCAGCTGCCTTTGGCTGTATGCACAGACACTGTAGAACGTTCTTGAGAACCTTTACTTGCCGTTTGTCTATTAGGGCAGCGTTAGGGTTTGTCTAAGCACTACAGCTTCGTCACCATCGGGCAGATTACGATAGAACAACGGCACTAGCAGAATGCTTTGCCTTGGCTTGTGACAGTATGGGGAATCCCATAAAACAATATAGCTGAGGGCTGGGCAATTTTCTTCTACTTCCTCTTCCTCTGAGAACAAAACGAAGGCAACTGTGATATTTTTCTTCGTGGGCTTGTCTCTATTATTTTACCCTCCCCGTCTCCCTTACCTTGAAATACGCAATTCCATCTGAATTAGATATCCAGATTCTTATTTCTTTGTTTATATTGAATTCGTGAGGGTCCCGATATCTTTGTTTATTAGTTATGCCCCATAGAGTGCCTTCAGAGCTTTTCGTGGCTATGGGCCGGGCTCCGTAGCTATGCTGATGGGTGTCGCTGCCCTCGTCTGCCACACTGAGCCCCAATGTTCTACGTAATTCGGAAAGAAACATCGAACTTGAATGGAGACCGTCGTGAGGTACAAGAAATTAAAAATAGGTGACCCCTTATGGGAAAAGCATTATCTTAACCAACCAGTCTCCAAGCACTTTTAGGAGAGCTGTACTAAGGTATCTGCCAGTCTTCTGGCAGAAGTGGACCTCAGCTTACCTCCATTTCTGCCACAAAGCAACATCTGTATGCAATTGTGTTCAAGCCCCTAAACTGTGGACTAACTATCACTGTGTCGCGGGTGTTACGCAATTACCTGACAATCTGGATGGGAGTAGAGCTCATGCTCAAAATTCCAACGGATTATGCAACAATAAAATAGTAGAATACTGTAGCATAACTTCCCAGTGTATGCAAATATGTTTCAAATTGTTACGTGAACACGTACATAGCCCTAATAAAAACCTTCCGCCCACACAGGAGCCTTCAAAAATTTTCTGGAGCGCTACTTTATGAGGCAAACAAGTTTACTTTCTGCTTGTATTTGGGCCTGTTTTCCTCCGTGAGGTGCAGCACGTTGCTCTGTGCCTTATGCCTAGCAGCCCAGTCGCTGAGGTCTCTGTGCCCAGGAACCATGGAGATTGGGAACGGGATTGTCTGGGGTTAGTGAACATCTATGTAGAATACTGAGCTTCCACTGTGGCTCGCAATAGTCTTAGTGTGAGCTCGATGCCCCTAGTTGCGTACGGTACACAGTTTGCCTAGTCATCTACAAGGAGAGTTTAAATGGAGAATAAATACAGAAAAGGCGAATATATTTGATGCCACAGGTGTTGCTATTGATAATAACCAAATCAAGTTTCCGTAAAACCTCCAACAATGGAAAATGTGTTACATTTATTATTCGGGGCTGGCGACGACCCCGAGTACAGTATAGTGATACATGAATCCTTGCTATTCGTGTGAAGCTTTAGCTGGTTTCATCTGCAATGTATATCGAATTCTGACACTCTACGTATAAAATTTGCTATTTTGTTGTAGTTTGCGTCTAAAGGCATTCAATTGAGGTCCTACACAAGCAGCTGCGTAGGCAAGTCCGCTCGCCGCAGGCGCAGTGAGTGAGTGAGACGTGTGAAGTTCGAAAACGAAACTGTAGGTGGACGTCTTGTGACGTTTCCCTCTTAATAATTATATTATATGTAGGACAATACAGATTTCATTAAATACCTACCTTTTAGTTCCACAGTATGCCTCCGATCTGCGTGGCGGACGGCTGCAGCAGGTTCCTTGCAACTCGGTCTTATTGTCTTCCCTATAGACGGCGTGGTGGCTTATATTGTTACCTTTAGATCATATACTGCATATTTATTTACACATCTGTCTTCGAAGACAGTTGTTTTTGCTGCTGTTCGCCTTCTCCAAGGGAGGTGGCGTCGTGGTTGTTCTCGTGTGGAGGGAGGCAGCCTCAAAGGAACTCTTCCAGGTACAGCAGTGGATTTGATGAGGAAGACCGAAGAAAGTGCATAACCACCAACAAGAGCATCAGCAGCGAGAGCAGCAGCAACAACTACTACAAAAACAGAAACAAATAGAACTATAACAACACAACCCCTCTCAACACCTCTGTCTATCTCATAGATGAAACCCTCAAGATGCCCCGTTCATATGGGGCGGCTGCACCACTGCGGCCAGTCATGTCGTTTTTCTCCATTTTCTGAATCTCTTATTGCGGTGGCGTCTTCGCATCTTTTTGGCATGGCTGGTCCTGGTGCAGTGGAGGTTTTTCAGATGCATGCAACACCTGAATCTCCTTCTTCTCTTGTCTCAGATACACCAGCAGCTCCATCTCCTGCAATTCTTGCTACCCGTGTTGACGCACAGGCGCGAGCTGAGGACGTGCTGCAGCCTCAGCGTGTTGCAATGTTGAACCACAAACAAGCAGTTAACGATGTAGCGTGGTCGGAGCTGAATGCGCACACGCTGGTAGCAGGGGGAGCGGGGGGCAGCATGACAGTATGGCAGCTCTCTGCAGCAGCAACAGCAGCAGCAACAGTAGCAATGCCAGGACTCTCTGCCACGAGAGGCGAAGAAGGAGGCAAGGCAATAGCAGAGGTGCAGGGACACCGCCGCGACCTTACAAGCTTGAGCTGGAGTTGCGTAGAGAAGCGGCTGCTCTTCTCCTCCGGGCTTGACGGGGAGGTGCAAGTCCGTGACGTGCAGCAGCACTGGGAGTCCCCAGTGTTGGTGCTGCAGCACAGCAGCAAACCTGCTTCTTGTTTCTGCTGCTCGTCTCCTGCAGACGCAGCACTTGTCGCCTCTGTGGGGGCTGATGGCCGGCTTCTGCTCCATGACTTGAGGAGGGCTGCCCCCAATTCTTCCCGTTGCGGTGTACAGACACCTACAGCAGCATGGGCAGTGCATGCACATCCTTGCGAAGTCCTCTCTGTTGACTGGATGAAGCACAGACCTTGGCTGCTGCTTACAGGTGCAGCTGACGGCACGGTGGGTCTATGGGACGTACGTAAGGGTACAGACGCAGCCGCTTCTTCTCCTACTGCTGCAGCAGCAGCAGCAGCAGCTACTGCTGCTCCTAGCCGCATCTCGTCTACCCAGGCACACCAACTAGCCGTAAGACGGGTCGTCTCCCACCCCTTCAATGCCCAACGATTTGCCTCTTGTTCTTATGATATGCATGTAAAGGTATGGGATACTGACGAGGGTTCAACTATAACCCTTGCTGCATGCAAAGAAGAAGGATCTCAACAACCAGCAGCAGCAGCAGCAGCAGCAACATCCAACAGCAGCAGCAGTAGTAGTAGTAGTAGTAGTAACAGCAGTAACAATAACAGGACATTGCCTTCTCCATGGATACCTGGATCAGGTTGGATACGTTTGCATGCAAGTAGTGACCATCATCGTGAATTTATTTTGGGGCTGGATTGGTCTGTATTCAATTCAGGATTAATTGCAACAACTAGTTGGGATAAAAGTATATGTATATATAATGCAGATAAAGGATATTATCCACCATTAGTACCTAAAAGATCTCTTCTTCTTAGTATGCAACATGCAAGATAAATTCTTTTTTTTTCTTGCTGCTGCTGCTGCTGCTGCTGCTGCAGCAAATGCTGCAGTGGTTTTGCTGCAGCAGTAAATGCTGCAGCAGCAAAAACATACGACACACAATGTATTGTATTGTCCAGGGGGGGGTGCGATCCTATGCAGGGGCAGCAGCAGCAGCAGCAGCTGCTGCTGCTGCCGAGTATACTGTAGCAACAATGCATGCAGGGAGCAGCAAGAGACGAATAGCAGCAAGAAGGAACAAACCTTAGTTAATAAATCTACATGCAGCTAGCTGTAGCAGCAAGCAGCAGCAAACAGCAGCAAGCAGCAGCCGCTGCATGCGGCGTATATATTCATTAGAGACGCTGTATGCAGAGAGATGCACCCTAGGAAAGACCAACAGCAAGCAGCCGTCTGCTGCTGCTGCTGCTGCTGCTGCTGCTGCTGCTGCGGTTCCTAGTGAGCAGCTGGAGGTCACGAGGGAGGGAATAAAATAACGAGTTCACGGAAACAGGAGGAAGGAAGGGAACATTTGTTTTTTTTTTAAGTATTATAATATATACTATATACTACACTATATATATATATATATA